AAAAGAAGTAAGTGATTACCCTAATTTTTTTCTATCATAATAATAATAATAATAATAATAATAATAATTCATACAAATAAATTTCTTAATAATAAAATCTTGATAGTTTCATTTTTTTGAATTACAAAAATTGTAATACCAGACACTATTTGAATTCTAAAGAAATTAAGTGCAATAATATTTCGATTAATTATGACAAAGTTTTCCAAAAAAAGAAATAACATGTTCTTTTTTCTTTCCTTGTTTTTTTTTTTTTATTTCCGATAATAAACATTTGAATAGACAATCTTTTATATAGCATACATATTATCTATATATATACATACATGTATATGTAACACATTATATATAAAATTCGATATTTCGTTTGGTATATTTCTATCGAAAACGCGAATCGATTCGATAGTTATCAATAGTTATCGGGCCTTTCAGGAAATATCGTTTCCCGTGGCTCCCGATGCAATATGAAAAATGCGAAACCGGTTCCCAGGCGTGCTCTAGCATGCTCTTTCCGATTACGATCGCTGATAACGCCTTTTGGAGAACGTACATGGAGACACATACACACAAACGTACAAACGCAAACACACAAATAAAGAAACAGTTTCTTTCTCATCCTTTTTCTCGGTAACGTGTTCTCACGTCGCATTGTCCTCGCACACACGACTCGTCCTTTTCCACCAAAGAGAATTCCAATCTCGTACGATCCTAAGAAAAAGATAGATTGTCCGTTCATTCTTCGACAAAGATTTCTACTTCCATTTCAATTTTACTCGCGATCGGCACCGTTTACGAAGGCTCTCCTTTACTCGGATAGATTAGATTCTCAAACGATGTTGAATTCGAAAAACATCTGTAAAAAAAAACTTCTTGAAATTCTTACCAAATTATCTTTACGAAATAAAAGAAATATCTAAGTATCTTGTCTTCTTTAAAATATTAGAAATGAGATGATAACTCGACTGCTATTACTGTTATTACCAAAGTATTACTTTTTTTATTTCATTTCGTTAATTAAAATAACTTGATTTACAGAGAAAAACTCATCTAGGAAAACAATGATTTTCAGGGTAGAAGACTTTCTTTCTCTCTCTTTTTCTCTCTCTCTCTTTCTCTCTCTCTCTCTCTCTCTCTCTCTCTCTCTCTCTCTCTCTCTCTCTCTCTCTCTCTCTCTCTCTCTCTCTCTCTTATTCAAATTACGTCACCATAGGATCGTCTCAAATTTTTTGGCGCGAGAAATTACGACGATGAAGCTCGAAAACGTTTCTACGTAATTAGATATCCTGGTAGTCCGAGGGCCTTCCACCTCGACAATATCCTTAAAAGCTCTCTAAAGTGGGAGCATAAAGTTGCAGGAACTTTCATAGAATGATTTTTTAGTGGAATGCTATTTGAGTTATTGCATAAACGCGTCATTTTTCTCTTCTCGTGAATAAGCGAACACTCATAGTAGTTGTTATTTCTCTCTCTCTCTCTCTTTCTCCGTCTCTATTTAACGTTAAATGATTAAATGAGATGATCGATACGTATCGTAACGATATGATCCATGATGATCGAATAAAGAACGAAAGTTCACGGTAAAAAAGAAAAGAAAAAGGTTCACTGTAGATGAATGAATTGGAAAATATTTCGATAACGAAAAGCATACAATCTATTATGAAAGAGTTTAAGAGAAATCGATATAATCGAACGTATTCGATAAATCTACTTTCGCGTGTCCTTGATAAATGTTTTTAATATTTCCGTTTAATTTTCTATCATGATCTCATTTTTTTCATTTTTTTTTTCTTTACGTTCTACTTGGAAAGAACAGAAATTAGAAAAAAAAGAAAAGAAAAGTAAATGATTGGAAACTAACGACGCCAATGCGATAGCGATTAACATCCCATTAGTTTCGAGTACCGTTGGTATTCAATGGCCCATAAATTTCTCTCTCTCTCTCTCTCTCTCTCTCTCTCTCTCTCTCTTTCTCTCTCTCTCTCTCTCTCTCTATCACGCGTGCGCGCACATGCACACACGCATGCGCGCAATTCTTCTCCCCACTCCTCTCTCTCTCTCTTTTGACGATCTCCGAAATTGTGGATTTATGTGAGGCTCGTTATTAAATCGAGTTAGCCTTACTATATGAAATTAGGCCCGTTTAGAATTCCGGTCGGTAGTGCGGGTAACCTCGGGATCGGTTTAGCGCATCGATAACACGTTCGATGTAATTATAAATAAAAGCAAACGCGTGTCCTTGCGCGATTGTTTGCCTTTTTAACGTCTCTCAAATTTCCATTTTTTTTTTCTTTTTCTCTCTACTCTCTATTTTTTCTCATATTTAATTTTTGTCGTCATTTTGTTCTTTTTCTATTTTTATTATTATTATTTTTCCTTTTACTTTAATTTTACTTCTTCCTCATTGTTTTACTCGTTATATTGATTAATCCCTTTTTTTTTCTTTTTTGTAATTTTTACATTTCTTCGATGTATCTCACGTTCGTTTCAAAAAAAGAAAGAAACAAACACAATTAAAACGAACAGCCCATTTTACCTACAAAAATCGAGATAGAATGTGTGAAGAAGAGATAGAAATACACATGTGAAGAGAGAGAGAGGGAGAGAGAGAGAGAGAGAGAGAGAGAGAGAGAGAGAGAGAGTTTATATGTTTGGAAAATTTTCAGAACGATATCTCCTATTGGCGATCAATTTTTCCGATTTCGATTCTAGCTTTTTTTGGCGAACGATTTTCCCGATGGAACGATAATTGATAAGCTATCGGCAGAATGGGTACATTAAAACGCGACGGATCGCTCAGTGATAAGATTAATCTAGAAAGTGAAAAAGAAAGAGAGAAAATGCGGGAAGGGAAAAAGAATGAAAAAAAGAGCGGGAAAATGATAAAGTTCAACAAGTCTCGTTAACTTCATAACTAAACATGATTTGACGTTATAATAACAAGCAACGCTGTTATGCGCTTTCATTCACAATAAATCGTCGTGACTTATGTCACAAGTCGTTGTCAACAAAAATGTTCTAAGTCGTCACTGTTGTCATCGTTTTACAACTTATTTTCGAAAGAGTATGTACGCCAATGAGTTTAAGCCAATTGGAGCGGAAGGAGTTATTGCCTGAGAGTTGTGCCTTCGATCCGTGACTACTACCAAGAACGAACCTCGATTGGTCTTCGAATGATTATAAATTCGAGTGATCATTGTAGGTCACCGATGACAACGATACTTACTTATTTCTAATTCGTATGATTTTACGATACTACGACGTTGATTACAATCACAAAATTTATTGAATCATAAAAAAAAATGGTGTAGCACCAACTGAAACTCAATTTGCAATTTACAATATTTTTTCAAAATAATCCTGCTTATCGGAACTCCCCATTTTGTTTAAGCGTATTAATGAAAAAAGAAAAAGAAAAAAAAAAAAAGGAAAAAGTTCGTGAATAAGTAAAACGGCAGAATAGAAATAGCGCGGGAAATTCAAAAGGGTGAAGAGGAGAGTAGAGGAGAAAAGGGGTAATGGATCGCGGCCGGTCGATTCAAAAATCGCGCGGGTTAGGCGTATTAAGTGCGGGCTAACCGCATTGCGGCGCAGCTCACGCTCGATGGGAATGACATTGCTTCGTCGCCGTCACGTATTGCGGTCGGTGCATCGACGAGAGAGAAAGAGAGAGAGAGAGAGAGAGAGAGAGAGAGAAGAGCGGTGCGAAACACGCGTTTGTCGTATACGAAAAGTAATTAGCAATAAATTTCTTCTGTCGCGACTCGGTATGCCATGATTGTTTTATGACGATTCCTATCCTCTTTCTTCTTTATCTCTTTTCTTTCTCTCTCTCTCTCTCTCTCTTTCTCTCTCTCTCTCTCTCTCTCTCTCTCACTCCCTATCTATCTCTTTCTCTTTCTCTCATACACATTTATTTCAATCTTTTTTCATATAAAGATCGAGTAGATTCCTTTCTCTTTCGGTCATTCATCGAGTAATACTTTTCATTTCTCGAACCGATCGATCGTTTGTTCGATCGACGTCCGATCGAAATCTTAAAATAGACCGGTCAGCTGATAAAAGAAAAACTTTTCTTTGAACGAAAAGCAACGAGCACAGAGGGTCGTGTTACTTCAACACACTCATCAATCACCGAAGACTTATCGAATCTCGTTCGGACTTGAACCGATCCCCATGCGTTTTACATCGATCAATGGCTTATCAACGAGATGTGTGTTTGCGAAAAAAAAAAAAGAAAAGAAGTGAGAAGAGGAAAAAGAAGAAAGAAAGACATAGAAAAGGGAGAAAGGTTCACGTGCGTGTTATTGTCGTTGAAAAGCTATTCCCACGTCTGTCGTAATGCGTACTCACGCACCTGCCACCTACGTTTATTATAATGGGTCGAGAGATCTCTCTGTGAAAGATTGAAATTACGGGACAACTTGAAAAGAGTGGGATATTTTCTCTCTCTCTCTCTCTCTCTCTCTCTTTCCTTTTTAGTTCATTATTTTCTTCATACGTTCGTTATCGTCTAGAAATTCTATTCTAGGATTATAAAAAACAAAACCTCTGTACGAAATTTGTACGTTTAATTTGTACTTAGTTCGAAAAATGTGAAATTGAAAAATAGAATGAAATCGTTATGATCGATCGTACATTAGCTTGAAAACGTTGTTAATCTTTGACATATGATAGGGAAAAGAAACGAAGAGAGAAGAAAAAAGAAAAAAAAGCCCTTCCCATCTGTCCGTTAGAAATTCACGATTCGTGAAGCTGATATTTGAAATAGTAACTTACATTAGAATAGAAGGGTCGAAACGGGGAGAGAAGACGCAACCCTAACAGTCGACAGTGATGGTTCATATTTGGAATAGTTCCGTTGCATTAGTTTCACGTAGAGACTAGATAGAGAGACTCGGTATCTCGCATATAACGTGTCTCATTGCGTTGGCCTATCCCAAGCCGGCCTCGTACAGACTGCAATATCCTAAATGGGCCGTATCTCGTTCTTTATGTTACAGCCGATGCAACGAGATTGAGACACTCGAGGCACCTGGACGTGAGATCGCTGTTCCTAAGCGAGGAAGAGGAATTAGTGGTGAGTGCATTTTCCATTCGTTCTTGATTCGATTTTTCCTTCCTTATCACTCACTCATTCTCTCTCTCTCTCTCTCTCTCTCTCACACACACACACACACACACACGCGTACATACACACACATACACACACACATACTCCTTTTTATTCTTTTTTTCTTTCTCTCTTTTTTTTCTTTACCTTCCAAAGCTTTTCTTTCCGATGTCTTGCAGCTTTCTCGTTTACCGCTATCTCATTCTTCTCGAAACGAAGTGAATCTATCTATTTCTCCCGTTTTTCCTCTCTTTCTCTCTCTCTCTCTTTCTCTCCCTCCTTCCCTCTCCCTTTCTTTTTTCTCTTCTTTTCTCTCACGTTCCAACAGAACCTCTTCCAGGCGAGATAATGGATTTATCCTATCGTTGATTTTCGCGAGATGTCAAATATTTACAAGCGCCATCACGCCTGGTACGAGACAGCTTTCTCTCTTTCTTTCTCTCTCCCTCTCTCTCTCTCTCTCTCTCTCTTTCTCTTTCTCTCTCTCACTTTCCTCTCTGCAACTCCCCCGTTTTTCTCTATCACAAAAGATAGAATTATTCCTTATTTTTAAAGAAGTACATTTTATAGTGTATCCATAGTAAAACATTGGTTTAGTTTTCTTCATTCTTTCCTTCTTTCTTTCATTCTTTCTTTCTTTCTTTCTCTTTCTTTTTTCCTTCTTTCTTTTTTCCTTCAATTTCCTTCGAAATTTTTCACCATCTTGAATTCCTCTTATCTCGAGAAAAGGCTTTCTATTTTTCTCCCCTCCCCTTCCCTCTCATCCCCTCCCCTTTCCCCTTCCCCTTTCTACGAAAGATCGTGCCTCGATCTCATCGTTTTATCGGAAAGTGCATCTCACCGGCTCAACACGCTTTCCCAATTATAGTTAATTCCGTTGGCGCCCTTCTATATCCAGAAACATCTCCGACCATTCTTACCCATCCGATCGAGATAACATGCACGCTTCTCTCGTGGCTCTTTTTGTAATTTCGTCGATAAAAAGAAAGCTTCTGAAAGATTCTTTTTTGAACGTTCCGGTCGGTGTAACTTTAACGTGTTGGTAAGGAAGGTCCCTTTGTTAACGGTCGAAAGAGGTTATCGGCTAAAATATTGATTTTAAATTGAATTAAAATATCAATAAAGAAAAAAAGAAAAAAAAAAAGAAAGAAAGAAGGGAAGAAAGAAAGAAAGAAAGTCGAAACAAAAAGTATATGAATGAAAAAAGAGAATAAAAGAGAAAAATGTTAGTAATACCCAATGGATATTTGTAAAACAAACAAAGAAAAAAAAAAAAGAAGTAATAAATCCAATGGACTTGCCGGATCGTCGATCGTTACTTCGATCTCATTCCATCGAACTATTCTCCTTTCATATTTTATCTTCACCCCATTGTGTTTCCCCCTTGGGTTGCCTTTAATTTTGCATCGTCGAGCGAGAAAACACGATGTAATCGGTGCACAGTGCCGCGTGAGTGTGTTTGATAGAAAGAGAAAAAGGGAGGGAGAAAGAGAGGGAGATAGAGAGAAAGAGAGAGAGAGAGAGAGAGAGAGAGAGAGAGAGAGAGAGAAAGAGAGAGAGAGAGAGAGAGATTCGGAATCGTGATTAATGGCGCGCGGTTTATAAGCGCGTAGAGCACTTTAATTTATGAGGCGTCTTATTGCGGTAGGTCCGAAAAACTTGGCCGATTAATCTCGGCTTTTGTCCTTCCGTCGAACGAGAAACTTCCTTGTTATTCTTTTTTCCTTCTTTTCCTTTTCTTTTTCCCTTTCTTTTTCCTTTTCTTTTTCCTTTTCTTTTCATTAAATTTTCGTCGCCTTTTCTAATACGTCTTCATTTTTATTATTCTCCTATGCTTGGTTCATTTTAAATATTTAACAAATCGTTCTTAGATTTTATTTAATATAATGTTTAAGATTTTATTCAAAATAGATATGCATATGTATGTATGTATGTATGTATGTATACATATCACACATCTATACGTACCGTTTGAAAAATTCACGTTATTTATAACTATATTTTCTGGGAAACGTATATCTGGGATTATTTTAAAAGTAATTTGCCTTTGTCTCCTATATTATCTTATCTACTATTTAAAGAAACATGTGATTGGAGAAGATGCCTAAACGTCTTTGCACGACATTATAATCTTTTGATCCTAATATAGAGCATCAAAAATTTGACAATATATTTGTTGATCTATTATTATTTTCTATTATTATTCTATTATTATTTTATATATTACGTGTTATAAGTGCTAGTTTCAACAAAGTAAAGAAAACTAACAATATTTGGTAATAAGATTTACATTTAAACTTTTCTCTATTTATGTTTGATTTTTATATTTTAATTTTTACTTTATCATTTATATATTCATCTCAAAAATGTCAAAAGATTTTTCAAAGGACAAAAGAGAAAGAGATTTATTAGAAAGTGAAAATAAAAAAGAGATCAAAACTGCTACGGAATTGTTTGGCCGAAAATAAAAGAAGTGTCTAATATCAGAAGACCATCAATTTATAATATTTTCAGGAAAACATCAGGATCAACATAACCATGAAATATTATAAAAGGTAGAATTGAGTCGGCACTTTCATTAATTATTGATCATAACACGATCGAACGTATAAGAAAATCCACGGAAATAGAAGCATTTTCGAGTATTGAAAATTAAATGGGATTTATCTACTGCAAAATTATATTCATTTATTGGACTTCTGTATGCACGCGGTGCATATGAGGCTAAAAATATAGATATATCATATCTATAGAACAAGAAATGGATTCCAACATTTTTTCAACAATTATGAACAGAAATAACTTTACGAAAATTATGAGGTTTATTCGATTTGATAACACAAACTATATAAAATGTAAACAATGTGTATGTGGAAAATGCGCAATAAAAAATCCTATAATTTATAAAAAATGCACTGAAAACACATAAAATGTACATTATTCATTCCTAAATAAAAGAAAATATTTTGTTCACTGTCCGATTAGCTAAAATCTTATTCTATATTAAGATATGTTTTTTTTTAAAGCGGTCATTTGACCGATTACGGTAGGGATAGATATACATGAAGTGTCGTTTAGTAGGTTTAGTGTTAACATTTCGAAGTATTAATAAGTCTTGAATTTATAGTTTCGTTATACGAGCCACAATAAACTCTTTCATGTGCGTGATATATCGAATCTTATACTGCAACATTTTTATTTTTATTTAGTAATAAGATTTTATCCAAAATGTTATATTTTAATCAACTTCTTCTGGTACCGATTAAAGCTCTTACTAACCGGATTTCCGAATTACGTGTTGATATCCGAATCTGAATAATTGGATACTCGGACTTGAATCTGAATATTCTAGTACCCAGTCTTCGGATCTTTTACCAAATATAAAATTCTCCCAATTTGGATTCTAATGAACTACTTAGTATACAAAGACGTTTGGTATGCATCATTTGTTTATTATGTCATATTATTATTAATGACATCTTTCATATATTTAAAAAATTGAAAGGTCACATTTAACGATTGTTTCTTAAAATTATCGTAACCGTAACAAATTAATTTTTTTTATTTTATTTTACTTTCTCTTATTCCCTACATATCAACATTCGTTATATGTATTTTATGCTATTTATGTATTTTATACTACTTTATGATAATTGAAATTTTCGGAACTTTTTTTAATATTTTATGTCAATGATACTGCTCAAACAAAAGTAAATCAAAAAGCTTGTATAATATTGAATACTCATTAAGCTTCTAAAACCTATCAAAACTCACAAGATTTTAAAACTATAACGATCAAAACTTTCAAAAGTTTTAAGCTTCAAATCATGTTCGAAGTTACGATACAGATTCGAAGCAATTCAAAGTGTTTCATCTTGAGTCTATCGTCGATAGAACAACGAAAGTGACAAAAGACTTAAGACTCAAAATTTAACAAGAAATGCATGATTTGAATCAGATTCGAAGTAGTTCAGATCCCATCTTTAATTATATCAACTCACAGTCATAATCATTTTTTATTCCTAATCATGTCCAATTGAATGTCGCTCTCAGACTATGCTAGAAACCTTCACGATGACATTTGACTATTGCCGGATACATGCACACAATAGTTATCTTTACTTATTCTTTCTTATTTTTCATCGGCAGGTGCAACAACAAGGAAAAAATCACAATCACAAGCCTATGTTCACTAATTGTTCGATGTATGCTGCTGTCGTAAAAGAAGAAGAACCAGCAGGTACAGTGGTCATTCAGGTACACGCCGAGGATCAAGACCCACCGGATGAAGGAGGTAAATAATGAAAAGATTCAATTTCGTGTTATATAGGAGATTTATTTTCATCGATCCGGTCACAGACAGAAAATGAGATATTCTTCTTTATCTGTTCTCTTCAGGTACGATCACGTACGCCCTCGTCACGGCTCACAACGAGAGATTGAAGTTCGAGATCAACAATACGACAGGATTGATCAGAACCACTCAAATCTTGGACAGGGACGAACCGGCACGTGAAAAGGAGGTTTACCTTACCGTCCTTGCAACCGATAATGGAATGCCTCAGCTTGATGATGGCTGTACCTTTAAGGTCACAATCGAAGACGTCAATGACAACCACCCAGTGTTCGACAAAGTGGTGCGTGACTGAGAAAATTGCTCCCAGTCTATTAACCTGACTCCTGCGTCTGGACTCGTTCAGGGAACGGAAGAATTCTCTTGACTTCTTTTTTATTACAAAAGGCATTAAATCTTAAATGAAAAAAAAAAAAAAAATTATCTCTGATTCTTGTATAAATTAATAACTTTTCTTTTGAATCTACATGTTCGTAATGATTATAATTTCTCGAGATAATCGTTAAAAAAAATAGATTAAATTTCGATACAAACATTGAATCATGAATGCCATTTTTTAAATAAGTTAAAGTTAAGTTTGCGTTCCGTCAACGAGTCTTCCCTATTTGTTTACTAACAAATCTATCGCTCATCTCATCCGATAACGCCGTACTAACAACATTTTTGCTCGATTTTTCTTCTTTTTCCGAATCCAGGTCTACCGTGGATATGTGTGGAAGGTTGGTTTCGAAATTCCGGTGTGAATGGGATTTTTGTCGAATGATGTAACGAATGTATATGTTTCTCTGTCCTCTTTTTTTTTTTTTATCTTTCTTACTCTTTTTATATTTCTCTTTGTCTGTCTCCTTGTATCTTTAGGCACGCACGTCTTTTCATACTTCTCATACTATGAAATATTTCCTCGAGATATCCTTCGAAGAGCTTCTCGATCACGAGATTCTCGAAGAATTCCATGTCAAAGGGTGGATCCATGACATAGAAAAAGCTCTTTGACGGGGAAAATAGGAATAATTTAATCGCATGTTAAAATGAAAGAAAGAAAGAAATTTTTCCTATCCTCGTAAAAGCATCTTTTTCGAAGCTCGTATCGAAGTTGTCTAATTTTACCGTCTGTGGACGTCTTCTGTGTCTTTTTTTTTCTTTTTTCTTGCAATGACAATGAACTTATACGCGCATGATTCATTTATGATTCGCATGCGACTCGTATTTCTTCGTTAACTTCTAATACTCCGAACGATATCATCTATATTCTTTTAACCTTATCGCAGGCGTACAAGGAATCGGTGCCACAAGATCTACCGTTGAATCGCGAGGTCATGAGAGTCTCTGCGACCGACATCGATGATGGTAACAATTCCGTCGTTCGTTATAGCCTCTCACCGAGCAAACCTGACGACGGTGTTTACTTCAGGATCGATCGCAACACCGGCGTTATATATCTCAACAAAACTATAGACGTAAGCATATTGGTAAAACTATGGATACGGTGATATATTGTAAAAGAAGAAAATTTCTTCACCAAAACTAATGCTAAAATAAATTCTTTTTCTTTACTTGCTGATATTAACGAAAGAAATAATGCATTTTCTAGAAAAACCCAGATTACACGTTTTCGATGACAGCCACCGCAGAAGATCAAGGTGAAAATCCAAAATCTAGTATTATCAGTTTAGATATTCGTGTAGTCGAGTCGCACAAAAAGGCGCCTGTTTTTCTACCAAGACCGGTGGAGCCGATCAAGCTCTTGGAAAATTTCAGTGATTTTGGTGCTAGCATTGTACGGCTCCAAGCTGTCTCAAACATCGACGACAATCCAGATCTTCAATTCGTCCTTGTTCCTGGTAAAACAGAACAAACCAACAAGGATAGCACGTTTCGGTAAGAAATGAGCGACATTATCCTTCTTAATGTGTTATATACCTACGTCGTTTCTCACGATTACGACAATCATCATGATAGACATTTACGCTTTATCTCTATTTCTATCTGTCTCTTTCAGTCTGGAATCCACGAAAAACACAGCGGACATAAAATTAACGAAGCATCTAGACTATGAAAGTAACAAGGTATACTCGTTGATAGTTCGAGCGTGGAACAATTACGACTTGGCCGCCGAAACGGTGATAGACATAGAGGTTCTCGATGTGAATGACAATGTACCGGCCTTTCGAGAGCTCACGAAGGGTAGTGTTCTTGAAAACGAACCAGCAGGAGTTCCCGTTATGCAAGTACGAGCCATCGATGCCGATGGTACTTCGGCTCATAATAAGGTACATATTGTTTATCTTCACAGACAAGACTATATCCAGAGAATGTCTATTTTTACACATAATTTCGTACCTTCTTCATACATTGTCATTCTCTTATTATTTATTTCCCTTTTTTGTTTAGGTCACCTACGAGCTAAATGATTTCAAAGACCTATTTGCAATCGACAAGTACACCGGGAATATAACGACTCGAACGACTTTTGATAGGGAGACCCAAAGTACTTATAGCGTTTGGATTACCGCAACTGACAATTCACCTAGCGCCTTATACAACACCGGAGAACACAATAAAGTGCAGCAGTTGTTTCGTATCGAGATCGCTGATAAAAACGACAATGCACCACATTTTACGCAAGCCGTTTACACTGCCAATGCTATTTTAGAAAACGCTAATATAAATTCCGTAGTGATCGAGGTAAAAGCTTTGGATGCCGATACTGCCAGTCCCGTTACATACAGTATCATCCAGGGTAACACCAATTATAGCTTTTACATTGAAAGTACTACCGGAAAGATCCGTGTTAACAATCCATTGGATTACGAAAAAATCACGGAATATAATCTAACCGTGAGAGCGTTCGATGGCGTTTACAATGATACCGCGAACGTTAAAATCTTCATTGAAAACGTGAACGACAATCCACCAGTTTTCGAAGATTTCGAGACCAATCCAACGATTGAGGAGGAGAAGTTGGTTGATGGTGAGTACGAATTTTACTCGTTCATTAATATTTGTTTATTAACTCTTATATTTATTTCCAGGTTGCATTACGACCGTAGTCGCCTATGATCCAGATATAAAGGATAGAAACGCCGATCAACACATAGCTTATTTCATTCTAAAGGACGATCAAAAGCCTTTGTTAAGTATCAATAAATCTGGATGTATTACTTTGAAAAAACCGCTCGATCGAGACCCACCTTTTGGTTATCCCGTATGGACGGTAAGTTTCTAACGATATATAAATTTCATTTGTGAGTCTATTTCATTCTCTTATTCATATTTCATCATATTCTCCCTTTTCTTTCTCATTTGTTCAGGTGATGGTGATGGCACGTGATGAGGATGATTCACCAACGGCTCTACGAGAATTAGCTACCGTAAACATAACTTTAATCGACATAAATGACAACGCCCCCTATCTCGACATGACACACGTAGTCTGGGGTGAAAATAAACCACCCGATAGAATAACCGATTTGAAAGCTCGGGACAGAGATTCCGATGACAATGGACCACCATTTAAGTTTTGGATCGATGAGACCGCAGACAAAGAAATTTTAACCAATTTTAATATTCGTAACAATGACCTTTATGCTCTAGTTACTTTCGATCGTGAGGAACGGAAAAGTTATAACATTCCAATAGCTATAATGGATAATGGAAAACCACCGATGACTGGAACTTCTACTTTGACGGTTATTATCGGCGATGAGAATGACAATCGTATGGAAGAGGGTTCGAGTTCGATATTCGTTTACATTTATAAAGGTGACGCGCCTGACACAAAAATCGGACGAGTTTATGTTAAAGATTCTGACGATTGGGATTTACCTGATAAACATTTTGCTTGGGCATCTCCGACACATGAAGGCTTTGAATTAGATGAACATACTGGTATGATAACTCTGCTCTCTGGTACCTCGAACGATACCTTTTACATGAAGTTCGTCGTTACGGAAGAGACGTTTCCTAGAATACCTCGTCATCAAGTATATGCTTATGTTAATGTTACGGTAAAAGAGATTCCCGAAGAAGCAGTGATTAGGTCCGGATCTGTACGTTTCTCTGGTATAACCGCAGAAGAATTCATTGAACCGGATCAAAATGGTGTCAGTAAGAAGGATATCTTTCAAGAAAAGATAGCCTACATGTTAAATACATCGATAGACAATGTTGATGTTTTCACCGTTCTTCATTCTCCTTATCACAACAAGACTTTCTTAGATGTTAGATTTTCAGCACATGGTAGTCCTTATTATGCTCCCGAAAAATTAAACACTATCATGTCGCAACACTCTACGAATATTGAACGTGCGATGAAGGCAGATATATTGATGGTGAATATTGACGAGTGTCTTTACGAAAAAGTTAATTGTAATAATTCTTGTCGAAGTTTCCTAAATGCCAGTAACGTTCCTTCTCCGGTTTATACGAACACCAGTTCCTTCGTTGGTGTCAGAGCCATCATTGAACCTCAGTGTACTTGTCATGTCGCTGAACCTATTGTTTGTTTAAACGGCGGTACACCATTAACTGATAGATGCGAATGTCCTCCAGGATTGGAGGGTCCACGGTGTGAATTATTAGGTATAGGTTTCCATGGTGATGGCTGGGCTATAATGCCGCCACCTGGTCAAGCCTGTGATGACTCGCACTTAGGTAAAAATTTACTGAAAATACGATCAATCGTACATTCGGTAAATTGTTGTGCTCCCTACATATGTTTTTTTCTTTTTTTATAGGTTTGGAGATCATACCGGAAGTCGAAAGTGGTCTTATATTTTATTTCGGTCCAATGATTTACAGTAAAAAATTAGGAGTTCAAGATTTTATGGCTCTAGAAATTCAACACGGTTACGCAGTGCTCTATGTTGATTATGGTACGGGCACTATAAGATTAAATCAGAAACAAATTAAATTAACCGACGGCAAGAGTCATAGGATAGATGTTTATTGGACTAAGACAGTAAGTGATATAATTTTAATTTATTTAATTTCAAATCATATTAAAACAGTTTTGTTTTTTAAACAATAATATTATTCTTTGTTATAGTCGATTGAAATGAAAGTAGATAATTGCGGCATATCAGCTTGCATGAGTTTGACTGCGCCAGAAGGTTCCAATGAGTTCCTTAATGTAAATAGTCCGATGCAAGTAGGCGGTACATTAACGAATCTAGCGTATTTAGCAAAGAACTTGGGGTGGCATCACAAACCTACCGAAAAAGGCTTTGTCGGTTGTATTAGAAATATGACTATAAATGGAAATGTAAGTTATCTTCGATATTAGTAATACAAACAAATAATGAAATTTATAATTGTTCATGTAATTGCTAAAAAATTCTTTCCTGTAGACATATAATTTAGGAATGCCAGCATTATCAAGAAATATAGATCCAGGTTGTGATCATGGAATGGCAAAGGCTGTGTCATTTGGCATTGACACCAATTTCTTAGTTGCAATCCTAGTTTGTGTAGCAATTCTATTGATATTGTTGTTAGCGGTAGTAGTCCGCAGAAGAAAGACTGATGATCTCTACAAAGATATGGATGATATAAGAGATAACATAATTAACTATGAAGATGAAGGTGGCGGTGAGGTAGACACCGGCTACGACTTGAACGTTTTAAGAGCTATTTACGATGCGCCACCAATAGAATCTAAAATAGCACCTGTTGGTCTTCAGGGTAGAGGTAAAAAAAGTCAGATTAAATATTTTGTATGTTTAGCAATAGTGAACAGAGAAAAATGACTATTTTAATGTTTAGCTCCTGACGAGGTACCAGATATCTGTGGTTTCCTAGATGGCAAGAAGGAAAGCTGCGATAAAGATCCCGACACGAATCCATTCGACGATGTTAGGCATTATGCTTACGAGGGTGAAGGAAATTCTGACGGCTCGTTATCGTCGTTAGCTTCATGTATGTATCATTATATATAATCACTCTTTAATATATGATTAATAATATATCTTATTCATACGTTACAGGTACCGACGACGGAGATCTCAATTTCAATTATTTATCAAATTTTGGACCAAGATTTAGAAAACTCGCTGACATGTATGGAGAGGAATCTAGTGATGAAGAGAGCGATGGCGTAGGTGAACGTGAAAGTGAAAGCTGGTGTTGAACAGCGGACGCATTCGATAGACTTTTATGAATACTTAACCCTTTGCAGTCCATTGTCATACTGGACACAATAGATTCTTTTTCCAGTTCCATTAACGCTGTTGTGCCCAGCGTGACATTAGTTTAAGGGAAATCATTCACCAGACATGTAAACTTGAAGTAAAAGCTGGGTTCCTATCTTTGGGACGAATATTTTTTATGTCGAGAAATTAATTTGAGATGACGTAATATAACGCGCTGATGTCGCAATCGAATAAAAGATCTAATCGTAACATTTTTTCATTCACATATCAACAAATACACACACACACACACACACACACACTCGTATAACTGATATTTCATTGTCTATTTATTCAGTGATCGTTGCCTCAATTCTTCACGATGATATAACAGATCTTTTATTTGATGGACCGATGGCATCATATTGTGCAATTTTCAAGTTTCAATTTCTCGATACGAAAAAGCATGTCTTTTCAGCGATAGAAATCCTTACTTCGAACTTTCAGCGATTGCTGATTGCTAACGCTGATACTGATACTTCAGAATGAAATACGAAATAGGTAAGCCTAAACGACTACAGGAGAGTATAAATATAATTTATCAAAATAATTGTGTTGTAAAATAGACTAAATATATAATTATGTAGTTATAATACGTATGTATGTATCTATGTATCGCGTGTAATAGGAATGTAATTATGATTATGTAATGATATATTTACTCAATTTTATATTAAAATTATTTTTTTAAATTATATTAATTTTTTCCTACAGTTGTTAGTCTACCTATTGTGTATTTATATATCTGTATATAAATATATCTATACTATAAGTTGATTCGAGCGTAATAAAAGGCTACCGTTTCTTACATACATTTTTCGCTCTATTTTCGTCAATGTTTTGCGCATAACTTTTGCACCTATCTCGGCGATTGTCGTCCTCTAGCCTAGTTTTTCCTGTTTATTTTCTTTTTTATCTAACCGTACCATCGTCATTGAATAGCATGAAATCATTTCTCGAATAAAATGTTTTAAATCTGTCTCATTCAAATGCCTTTCTTTTTACAATAATGACTTTTTATTAAATTTGTCAAACATTTTGGATTGTTTAAATGTATTTATCTATCTTGTTTGAACAGAACATGTACGATCGAAGAAAAAAAAATTCATTAAGACGACCAATTGTATCCAGCTGCTACAATAAGTAACAAATTGATAAGAAGCCTGTAGACTCATTTAACATTGCTGCAATAATCGATCAAGAAATTGCAACATTTCATTTCACTCAACCTACAAGTATTACGATTGATGTTTTGTAGTTAATGAATATTTGAAAATAAAAATAAAATAAAGATAAAATAAAATTGTATACTAAGAAATACATATCATCTTACACATCTGAAATTATTTTGCGTAGCAATATTTTATTTTCCGGTCATGATCGTCACCTTACGTTTACACAGCTGTCGATAAAGATAAAATTATTTTTATCAACATAATGTAACATCTACCTAAATTACATAATCCTGAAATTAATTACGCATAATTACTTATAAATCGAAACAATCTCAATAATGATCGTAAAATTAATGTTTCTCTTTTTTGAAATTATTACATATAAATCACAAAGTATCGAAACAATCAAAAAAAAAAAAAAATAGAGATTATGTTTGAAAATCATTCGCAATATATTCGTTGGTATTGCACAAAGAACGACAATGGGGGTCAATCTTACGGTCTTCTCACTTCGTACATTGAAATTAGTTGTACGTTAGGGGTGGGATCGTGACGTAAACGAAAGACATTGTAAGATGCAAAGGGGTATAAAAAGAGCAATTATACGTTCCGTTGCTCTCAAACGTATGTACGATTCTGTCACGAAAGAAGCTGTCCTTTAAAACAATATCGAGAAAGTATCAACACGGATTCGAAATGTGAGTTTCAAGTTAAAATTTGATTTTAAGATTTTCATTTCTTTTTTTCTTTCTTTCCGTTTTCGAATAATTTCTCTGCGTGATAACAATTCTATATACGAGTGAATAAGAAGCATAATCAAATGCAAATGCTGAAATTTAATATTCGTTTACATTTCTGATGTAAAGATCAAGCCATAGACGGTGCGTTTATTATTTACTTAAGAATCCAAAAGCCTCCACTTATCAGACAAACATGAAAATGTATTTTCAGGTATCTCAAGAACCGATTGAATGTCATTACCATAATATTGCTCATCTCTTTGATTCTTTTGACTAATCTTCACGAGACAGAAGGGCAAGTGAATTTTTCGACAGGCTGGGGTAAAAGAAGTCAGAATATTCCAACTAGCAGTACGAATAATCCGAGGTGCTTATCACAACAAGGCAGACCATCCTTGGAACAATTGCTCAATCTATATAATTTTATTCAGGTAGGTACTTGAAATATGATGGGTTTCTTGTGTAATCGAGACGATTGCAAATATTATTTTTCAGATTGAAGCACAAAAAATCGTAGACCGTCAGAAGTTAAACAAATGAGATGAAATTCATTAGACCAACGGCATCATACTAGGATCATCGGAAATTACAAGGATTAGGATTATCAACGTTATTTAAATAAACTCTCCAATGTAAATTGTCGAAGAAACAATTGAGATTAATTAATTGATTATTCTTCACCTTCTTCCTCTGTTCCCTTCTCCTTTCGACTTATCTAGCTCATTAATCCGTTTATTAAAATATAATAACTAACATCGATCGTTATTTATGATGTGATTCCTGATATATCGATTTCTTTTTCAAACGTATTCGATCGGAAATCCTCCTGAAATTTTTGTTGATTTATTGATATGATGAACAGTCAAGACAAATTAACTGCTCAAAAGTATGTGTGTGTATATATATACATATATATATGTATATATACATATATATACTTGTTTGATTAATTTTTATATCGCACAGTAAAATTAGAGTATCATTCCATTGAAGAAAAGCAAGGATAACAGTCGAAGATACGAACTTTCGGTGAATGCTTTCATTTCGTCTTTTCGTTCTCGTGTATCATCAAATTAAATATTACGATGTGGAGGATCATCTGCCTTATAATTACTTTTCTAACGGCCGGTTATGGTTCTCCTAATTCATCTGACAATACGTCTAAAGCTTTTCCATTGGAACACGGTAATGGAATTAAATTTTTACTATGAAAAATTTTTTATACAATTAATTATTTTATTGAAATATTTTATAGAACTTGAAAAAGAACAAAATTTCTTATTCCACCTGTTTACATGCGAGGAAGTGGGTAACTTTCCTCATCCTATTAATTGCAAATTGTTCTATGAGTGTGCTTTATACAAACATGGGCGTTACCGTCGTTTCCTTCATAAATGCAAAATAGGACTTGTCTTCTCAATAGATTTAGGCAAATGTACTACTCCTAACGAAAGTGGAAGACCAGAATGTGGTGGTAAGACAATCGTAACGACAACATCGCCGCCTACAAGTAAGAGAATACCCCTTTGCTATAGAAAAAAACTGATTACTTTTCTGGGTAAAAGCGATGAATAAAACGAGTATAGATAAAATGAGTATCGGTGTCAATAATAAAAGTCCATCTTGCTTATAACATTCGTGATATTTTTTAGATAATGTTCCATCTAAAATAACTAAAGTATCCTCCTACCAAACTAGTACAACAAGTGCACACAAAACTGAAATAGATGTAAAAACTACTACCTCAAGTGGACTGATTATGCCAACGAAAGTAGAGTGTATTAAAGAAGGTTTCATAGAACATCCTACAGACTGTGCAAAATATTACATGTGTCTTGCGCGTATCAATAATACATTTGAAATCTTTGCAATGACATGCAAAGACGGGACAATATGGGATCGAGAAAAACAAATCTGTAATTATCCTGAAAAAATACGGAACCCCCGTTGTGGTCCATATACTACAGGTAAAGTAAAGAAAATTTCCTATCATAACGTGAAACAATGATATCTAAATTGTTTATACTTGCGATTAGTGAAAGGATCTGAAACATTTCAAATCGTCTTGTATCTGTATCGTGGTAACAATGTATATGTGGTAACAATTTCGAATTATTTCGAATCTGATTTAAAGCTTAAAAATTTTAGGAATCTTCAGTTTTTTGTCACTTCGTATTTCTGCGAATCTGTATCGTAACTTCGAAGATTAAAATTCTTTAAAGTCTTGATTGTCATAAACTATAAATCTTAAGTATTTTGATAGATTTAGGAATTTTCTATAAAATAGAAAAAATAAATTTGTTTTGGTTACGATAATTTCAAGAAACAATCATTGAAGTTGACTTTTCCATTTTTAAAATATGTATCAAATGTCATTAGTAATAATACAATAAATTACAAACCTCAAGCATTTCCGTATATCTAGGAATGAATTAGAATTCGAACTAGAAGAGCTTTATACTTGAGTCATCATGATAAAAGATTCGACATTAAGATTTAATACTTATAGTTATAATGAGTATATGAATATTTAAATAACTTAGAGTAAGTATCAAAAAAGTAGATTAACGCACAGCACGATCATTTTTAATAAAATTTTTGTTACTTACAAGAAATAAAAATGTAGAAATAAGATTCCATATATCGTATACAGACATAATCTATTGTCGCTAACACAATGAAAGTGACAAAATACTCAAAAATTATCCAAAAATTTAAGAACTTTAAAATCGGAATCATTTTAAAGTAATGATACAGATTCGAAACAATTCGAAGCATTTCAGATAACATTACACGAGTATATTGTTGCCCATACAATAAAAATGACGGAAAATTTTAGACTAACCAAGACTTCAAACACACATGAAAAATGTTAAACTTTGAATTACGTACGAAGTACGCACATCACTCAATATAAACACAACTTTAAAGCAACAATAAATATATAACATCAGATAATTATTTGCTAAATATATACTCAAGATAAAATTCCAATGACAACCAAAAGTTCTAAGATAAGATCGGTAAACGAATAGACAGCAAAAATATGTTGTTTCATTTCTACTATAAACGAAAACAAAAATAGTCAAAATTTAAATATTTATTAAACTAACACGAGAGATACAATAAAATGGTTAAAAATCGTACTATTATATCCCAACAGATAAACCAATAACTATAAGTACAGAAAACATTACCGAAACAACAGAGCATTCTACACGAAACCTAATAACTGAAATTCTTACATCATCGCCGGTTGAACAATCGACACTGGGAACTCCAACGATAAAACCATCCACAGGTTTATTAACAAGTATGAATACCCAACCTTCTACTATCACAGATGAGTTCTCTACATTTACAACAGAAACAAATACAGGAACGACGTCATCCGTTGAGGCGTCTACAGAATTAACCGATAAAACAAGCTCTGGAACTGTCACTGAATCCCAACAAACCTCAACGACTACCACTGACAAAGAGACAGTGGCTCCTTCGTCCGTTGAAACTACCACAGATCAGTTGTTAAGTACAACTACATCATCTAGTACTACCACTGAAGAGGTTTCTACGTTAACATCACAAACAGAAACAGGAATGTCATCATCCATTGATGTGTCTACAGAATTAACAGATGAAACAAACTCTGGAACTGTTACTGAAACCCAACAATCGTCGATGTCCACCATTGATAAAGAGATAGTTACTCTTTCGTCCGTTCAACCTACCACTGATCTGTTGTTAAGTACAATTACATCACCTAGCACTGTCACAGATGAGGGTTCTACACTTACATCAAACACAGAAACAGGAGCGTCGTCATCAGTTGAGGCATCTACAGAATTAACAGATGAAACAAGCACTGAAACTGTCTCTGAATCCGAACCAACCTCAACGACTACCACTGACAAAGAGACAGTCGCTCCTTCGTCCGATGAAACTACCACAGATCAGTTGTTAAGTACAACTACATCATCTAGTACTACCACTGAAGAGGTTTCTACGTTAACATCACAAACAGAAACAGGAATGTCATCATCCATTGATGTGTCTACAGAATTAACAGATGAAACAAGCTCTGGAACCGTCACTGAAACCCAACAATCATCGACGCCTACCACTGACAAAGAGACAGTTGCTACTTCGTCCGTTGAAACGACCACTGATCTGTTGTTAAGTACAACTACATCATCTAGAACTATCACTGATGAGGTATCTACGTTAACATCACAAACAGAAACAGGAAAGTCATCATCCATTGAAGTGTCTACAGAATTAACAGATGAAACAAGCTCTGGAACTGTTACTGAATCCCAACAATCTTCGACGTCTACCACGGACAAAGAGATAGTTACTCCTACGTCCGTTCAACCAACCACTGATTTGCTGTTAAGTACAACTACATCACCTAGCACTGTCACAGACGAGGTTTCTACGTTAACATCACGAACGGAAACAGGAAAGTCATCATCCATTGAAGTGTCCACAGAATTAACAGATGAAACAAGCTCTGGAACTGTTACTGAATCCCAACAATCTTCGACGTCTACCACTGACAAAGAGACAGTTACTACTTCGTCCGTTCAACCTTCCACTGATCTGTTGTTAAGTACTTCTACATCTCCTAGAACTGTCACAGATGAGGTTTCTACGTTAACATCACGAACGGAAACAGGAAAGTCATCATCCATCGAAGTGTCCACAGAATTAACAGATGAAACAAGCTCTGGAACTGTCACTGAAACCCAACAATCATCGACGCCTACCACTGACAAAGAGACAGTTGCTACTTCGTCCGTTGAAACGACCACTGATCTGTTGTTAAGTACAACTACATCATCTAGAACTATCACTGATGAGGTATCTACGTTAACATCACAAACAGAAACAGGAAAGTCATCATCCATTGAAGTGTCCACAGAATTAACAGATGAAACAAGCTCTGGAACTGTTACTGAATCCCAACAATCTTCGACGTCTACCACGGACAAAGAGATAGTTACTCCTTCGTCTGTTCAACCTACCACTGATCTGCTGTTAAGTACTACATCACCTAGCAATGTCCCAGATGAGGTTTCTACGTTAACGTCACAAACGGAAACAGGAAAGTCATCTTCCATTGAAGTGTCTACAGAATTAACAGATGAAACAAGCTCTGGAACTGTTACTGAATCCCAACAATCTTCGACGTCTACCACTGACAAAGAGATAGTAACTCCTTCGTCCGTTCAACCTTCCACTGTTCTGTTGTTAAGTACAACTACATCAGGTAGCACTGTCACAGATAAGGTTTCTACGTTAACGTCACAAACGGAAACAGGAAAGTCATCTTCCATTGAAGTGTCTACAGAATCAACAGATGAAACAAGCTCTGGAACTGTTACTGAAACCCAACAATCTTCGACGTCTACCACTGACAAAGAGATAGTTACTCCTTCGTCCGTTCAACCTTCCACTGATCTGTTGTTAAGTACTTCTACATCTCCTAGCACTGTCACAAATGAGGTTTCTACGTTAACGTCACAAACGGAAACAGGAAAGTCATCTTCCATTGAAGTGTCTACAGAATCAACAGATGAAACAAGCTCTGGAACTGTTACTGAAACCCAACAATCTTCGACGTCTACCACTGACAAAGAGATAGTTACTCCTTCGTCCGTTCAACCTTCCACTGATCTGTTGTTAAGTACTTCTACATCTCCTAGCACTGTCACAAATGAGGTTTCTACGTTAACATCACGAACGGAAACAGGAAAGTCATCATCCATTGAAGTGTCCACAGAATTAACAGATGAAACAAGCTCTGGAACTGTTACCGAAACCCAACAATCTTCGACGTCTACCACTGACAAAGAGATAGTTACTCCTTCGTCTGTTCGACCTACCACTGATCTGCTGTTAAGTACAACTACATCAGCTAGCACTGTCACAGATAAGGTTTCTACGTTAACGTCACAAACGGAAACAGGAAAGTCATCTTCCATTGAAGTGTCTACAGAATTAACAGATGAAACAAGCTCTAGAACTGTTACTGAATCCCAACAATCTTCGACATCTACCACTGACAAAGAGATAGTTACTCCTTCATCCGTTCAACCTACCACTGATCTGCTGTTAAGTACAACTACATCAGCTAGCACTGTCACAGATAAGGTTTCTACGTTAACGTCACAAACGGAAACAGGAAAGTCATCATCCATTGAAGTGTCTACAGAATTAACAGATGAAACAAGCTCTGGAACTGTCACTGAATCCCAACAAACCTCAACGACTAGCACTGACAAAGAGAAAGTGGCTCCTTCGTCCGTTCAACCTTCCACTGATCTGCTGTTAAGTACTACATCACCTAGCAATGTCACAGATGAGGTTTCTACGTTAACGTCACAAACGGAAACAGGAAAGTCATCTTCCATTGAAGTGTCTACAGAATTAACAGATGAAACAAGCTCTGGAACTGTTACTGAATCCCAACAAACCTCAACGACTAGCACTGACAAAGAGAAAGTGGCTCCTTCGTCCGTTCAACCTTCCACTGATCTGCTGTTAAGTACTACATCACCTAGCAATGTCACAGATGAGGTTTCTACGTTAACGTCACAAACGGAAACAGGAAAGTCATCTTCCATTGAAGTGTCTACAGAATTAACAGATGAAACAAGCTCTGGAACTGTTACTGAAACCCAACAATCTTCGACGTCTACCACGGACAAAGAGATAGTTACTCCTACGTCCGTTCAACCAACCACTGATTTGCTGTTAAGTACAACTACATCACCTAGCACTGTCACAGACGAGGTTTCTACGTTAACATCACAAACAGAAACAGGGACGTCGTCATCCATTGAAGTGTCTACAGAATTAACAGATGAAACAAGCTCTGGAACCGTCACTGAAACCCAACAATCATCGACGCCTACCACTGACAAAGAGACAGTTGCTACTTCGTCTGTTGAAACGACCACTGATCTGTTGTTAAGTACAACTACATCATCTAGAACTATCACTGATGAGGTATCTACGTTAACATCACAAACAGAAACAGGAAAGTCATCATCCATTGAAGTGTCTACAGAATTAACAGATGAAACAAGCTCTGGAACTGTTACTGAATCCCAACAATCTTCGACGTCTACCACGGACAAAGAGATAGTTACTCCTACGTCCGTTCAACCTACCACTGATTTGCTGTTAAGTACAACTACATCACCTAGCACTGTCACAGACGAGGTTTCTACGTTAACATCACAAACGGAAACAGGAAAGTCATCATCCATTGAAGTGTCTACAGAACTAACAGATGAAACAAGCTCTGGAACTGTTACTGAAACCCAACAATCGTCGACGTCTACCACGGACAAAGAGATAGTTACTCCTACGTCCGTTCAACCTACCACTGATTTGCTGTTAAGTACAACTACATCACCTAGCACTGTCACAGACGAGGTTTCTACGTTAACATCACAAACGGAAACAGGAAAGTCATCATCCATTGAAGTGTCTACAGAACTAACAGATGAAACAAGCTCTGGAACTGTTACTGAAACCCAACAATCGTCGACGTCTACCACTGACAAAGAAATAGTTACTCCTTCGTCCGTTCGACCTACCACTGATCTGCTGTTAAGTACAACTACATCAGCTAGCACTGTCACAGATAAGGTTTCTACGTTAACGTCACAAACGGAAACAGGAAAGTCATCTTCCATTGAAGTGTCTACAGAATTAACAGATGAAACAAGCTCTGGAACTGTTACTGAAACCCAACAATCTTCGACGTCTACCACGGACAAAGAGATAGTTACTCCTACGTCCGTTCAACCAACCACTGATTTGCTGTTAAGTACAACTACATCACCTAGCACTGTCACAGACGAGGTTTCTACGTTAACGTCACAAACGGAAACAGGAAAGTCATCATCCATTGAAGTGTCTACAGAATTAACAGATGAAACAAGCTCTGGAACTGTCACTGAATCCCAACAAACCTCAACGACTAGCACTGACAAAGAGAAAGTGGCTCCTTCGTCCGTTCAACCTTCCACTGATCTGCTGTTAAGTACTACATCACCTAGCAATGTCACAGATGAGGTTTCTACGTTAACGTCACAAACGGAAACAGGAAAGTCATCTTCCATTGAAGTGTCTACAGAATTAACAGATGAAACAAGCTCTGGAACTGTTACTGAAACCCAACAATCTTCGACGTCTACCACGGACAAAGAGATAGTTACTCCTACGTCCGTTCAACCAACCACTGATTTGCTGTTAAGTACAACTACATCACCTAGCACTGTCACAGACGAGGTTTCTACGTTAACATCACAAACAGAAACAGGGACGTCGTCATCCATTGAAGTGTCTACAGAATTAACAGATGAAACAAGCTCTGGAACCGTCACTGAAACCCAACAATCATCGACGCCTACCACTGACAAAGAGACAGTTGCTACTTCGTCTGTTGAAACGACCACTGATCTGTTGTTAAGTACAACTACATCATCTAGAACTATCACTGATGAGGTATCTACGTTAACATCACAAACAGAAACAGGAAAGTCATCTTCCATTGAAGTGTCCACAGAATTAACAGATGAAACAAGCTCTGGAACTGTTACTGAATCCCAACAATCTTCGACGTCTACCACTGACAAAGAGATAGTTACTCCTTCGTCCGTTCAACCTTCCACTGATCTGTTGTTAAGTACTTCTACATCTCCTAGAACTGTCACAGATGAGGTTTCTACGTTAACATCACGAACGGAAACAGGAAAGTCATCATCCATTGAAGTGTCCACAGAATTAACAGATGAAACAAGCTCTGGAACTGTTACCGAAACCCAACAATCTTCGACGTCTACCACTGACAAAGAGATAGTTACTCCTTCGTCTGTTCGACCTACCACTGATCTGCTGTTAAGTACAACTACATCAGCTAGCACTGTCACAGATAAGGTTTCTACGTTAACGTCACAAACGGAAACAGGAAAGTCATCATCCATTGAAGTGTCTACAGAATTAACAGATGAAACAAGCTCTGGAACTGTCACTGAATCCCAACAAACCTCAACGACTAGCACTGACAAAGAGAAAGTGGCTCCTTCGTCCGTTCAACCTTCCACTGATCTGTTATTAAGTTCAACTACATCATCTAGTATTATCACTGATAAGGTTTCTACGTTAACATCACAAACAGAAACAGGAAAGTCATCATCCATCGAAGTGTCCACAGAATTAACAGATGAAACAAGCTCTGGAACTGTTACTGAAACCCAACAATCTTCGACGTCTACTACGGACAAAGAGATAGTTACTCCTTCATCCGTTCAACCTTCCACTGATCTGTTGTTAACTACTTCTACATCTCCTAGCACTGTCACAAATGAGGTTTCTACGTTAACATCACGAACGGAAACAGGAAAGTCTTCATCCATTGAAGTGTCCACAGAATTAACAGATGAAACAAGCTCTGGAACTGTTACCGAAACCCAACAATCTTCGACGTCTACCACTGACAAAGAGATAGTTACTCCTTCGTCTGTTCAACCTACCACTGATCTGCTGTTAAGTACAACTACATCAGCTAGCACTGTCACAGATAAGGTTTCTACGTTAACGTCACAAACGGAAACAGGAAAGTCATCTTCCATTGAAGTGTCCACAGAATTAACAGATGAAACAAGCTCTGGAACTGTAACTGAAAGCCAACAATCTTCGACGTCTACCACGGACAAAGAGATAGTTACTCCTTCGTCTGTTCGACCTACCACTGATCTGCTGTTAAGTACAACTACATCAGCTAGCACTGTCACAGATAAGGTTCCTACGTTAACGTCACAAACGGAAACAGGAAAGTCATCTTCCATTGAAGTGTCCACAGAATTAACAGATGAAACAAGCTCTGGAACTGTTACTGAATCCCAACAATCTTCGACGTCTACCACTGACAAAGAGATAGTTACTCCTTCGTCCGTTCAACCTTCCACTGATCTGTTGTTAAGTACTTCTACATCTCCTAGAACTGTCACAGATGAGGTTTCTACGTTAACATCACGAACGGAAACACGAAAGTCATCATCCATTGAAGTGTCTACAGAATTAACAGATGAAACAAGCTCTGGAACTGTTACTGAATCCCAACAATCATCGACGCCTACCACTGAAAAAGAGACAGTTGCTACTTCGTCCGTTGAAACGACCACTGATCTGTTGTTAAGTACAACTACATCATCTAGAACTATCACTGATGAGGTATCTACGTTAACATCACAAACAGAAACAGGAAAGTCATCATCCATTGAAGTGTCTACAGAATTAACAGATGAAACAAGCTCTGGAACTGTTACTGAATCCCAACAATCTTCGACGTCTACCACGGACAAAGAGATAGTTACTCCTTCGTCTGTTCAACCTACCACTGATCTGCTGTTAAGTACTACATCACCTAGCAATGTCCCAGATGAGGTTTCTACGTTAACGTCACAAACGGAAACAGGAAAGTCATCATCCATTGAAGTGTCTACAGAATTAACAGATGAAACAAGCTCTGGAACTGTTACTGAAACCCAACAATCGTCGACGTCTACCACGGACAAAGAGATAGTTACTCCTTCGTCTGTTCGACCTACCACTGATCTGCTGTTAAGTACAACTACATCAGCTAGCACTGTCACAGATAAGGTTTCTACGTTAACGTCACAAACGGAAACAGGAAAGTCATCTTCCATTGAAGTGTCCACAGAATTAACAGATGAAACAAGCTCTGGAACTGTTACTGAATCCCAACAATCTTCGACGTCTACCACTGACAAAGAGATAGTTACTCCTTCGTCCGTTCAACCTTCCACTGATCTGTTGTTAAGTACTTCTACATCTCCTAGAACTGTCACAGATGAGGTTTCTACGTTAACATCACGAACGGAAACAGGAAAGTCATCATCCATCGAAGTGTCCACAGAATTAACAGATGAAACAAGCTCTGGAACTGTCACTGAAACCCAACAATCATCGACGCCTACCACTGACAAAGAGACAGTTGCTACTTCGTCCGTTGAAACGACCACTGATCTGTTGTTAAGTACAACTACATCATCTAGAACTATCACTGATGAGGTATCTACGTTAACATCACAAACAGAAACAGGAAAGTCATCATCCATTGAAGTGTCTACAGAATTAACAGATGAAACAAGCTCTGGAACTGTTACTGAATCCCAACAATCTTCGACGTCTACCACGGACAAAGAGATAGTTACTCCTTCGTCTGTTCAACCTACCACTGATCTGCTGTTAAGTACTACATCACCTAGCAATGTCCCAGATGAGGTTTCTACGTTAACGTCACAAACGGAAACAGGAAAGTCATCATCCATTGTAGTGTCTACAGAATTAACAGATGAAACAAGCTCTGGAACTGTTACTGAAACCCAACAATCGTCGACGTCTACCACTGACAAAGAAATAGTTACTCCTTCGTCCGTTCAACCTTCCACTGATCTGTTGTTAAGTTCAACTACATCTCCTAGCACTGTCACAGATGAGGTTTCTACGTTAACATCGCAAACAGAAATAGGAACTTCGTCATCCATTGAAATGTCTACAGAATTAACAGATGAAACAAGCTCTGGAACTGTTACTGAAACCCAACAATCTTCGACGTCTACCACTGACAAAGAGATAGTTACTCCTTCGTCCGTTCAACCTTCCACTGATCTGTTGTTAAGTACTTCTACATCTCCTAGCACTGTCACAAATGAGGTTTCTACGTTAACATCACGAACGGAAACAGGAAAGTCATCATCCATTGAAGTGTCCACAGAATTAACAGATGAAACAAGCTCTGGAACTGTTACCGAAACCCAACAATCTTCGACGTCTACCACTGACAAAGAGATAGTTACTCCTTCGTCTGTTCGACCTACCACTGATCTGCTGTTAAGTACAACTACATCAGCTAGCACTGTCACAGATAAGGTTTCTACGTTAACGTCACAAACGGAAACGGGAAAGTCATCTTCCATTGAAGTGTCTACAGAATTAACAGATGAAACAAGCTCTGGAACTGTTACTGAAAGCCAACAATCTTCGACGTCTACCACGGACAAAGAGATAGTTACTCCTTCGTCTGTTCGATCTACCACTGATCTGCTGTTAAGTACATCTACATCAGCTAGCACTGTCACAGATGAGGTTTCTACGTTAACATCACGAACGGAAACAGGAAAGTCATCATCCATCGAAGTGTCCACAGAATTAACAGATGAAACAAGCTCTGGAACTGTCACTGAAACCCAACAATCATCGACGCCTACCACTGACAAAGAGACAGTTGCTACTTCGTCCGTTGAAACGACCACTGATCTGTTGTTAAGTACAACTACATCATCTAGAACTATCACTGATGAGGTATCTACGTTAACATCACAAACAGAAACAGGAAAGTCATCATCCATTGAAGTGTCTACAGAATTAACAGATGAAACAAGCTCTGGAACTGTTACTGAATCCCAACAATCTTCGACGTCTACCACGGACAAAGAGATAGTTACTCCTTCGTCTGTTCAACCTACCACTGATCTGCTGTTAAGTACTACATCACCTAGCAATGTCCCAGATGAGGTTTCTACGTTAACGTCACAAACGGAAACAGGAAAGTCATCATCCATTGTAGTGTCTACAGAATTAACAGATGAAACAAGCTCTGGAACTGTTACTGAAACCCAACAATCGTCGACGTCTACCACTGACAAAGAAATAGTTACTCCTTCGTCCGTTCAACCTTCCACTGATCTGTTGTTAAGTTCAACTACATCTCCTAGCACTGTCACAGATGAGGTTTCTACGTTAACATCGCAAACAGAAATAGGAACGTCGTCATCCATTGAAATGTCTACAGAATTAACAGATGAAACAAGCTCTGGAACTGTTACTGAAACCCAACAATCTTCGACGTCTACCACTGACAAAGAGATAGTTACTCCTTCGTCCGTTCAACCTTCCACTGATCTGTTGTTAAGTACTTCTACATCTCCTAGCACTGTCACAAATGAGGTTTCTACGTTAACATCACGAACGGAAACAGGAAAGTCATCATCCATTGAAGTGTCCACAGAATTAACAGATGAAACAAGCTCTGGAACTGTTACCGAAACCCAACAATCTTCGATGTCTACTACGGACAAAGAGATAGTTACTCCTACATCCGTTCAACCTACCACTGATCTGCTGTTAAGTACTACATCTCCTAGCACTGTCACAGATGAGGTTTCTACGTTAACATCACGAACGGAAACAGGAAAGTCATCATCCATTGAAGTGTCCACAGAATTAACAGATGAAACAAGCTCTGGAACTGTTACTGAATCCCAACAATCTTCGACTTCTACCACTGACAAAGAGACAGTTACTACTTCGTCCGTTCAACCTTCCACTGATCTGTTGTTAAGTACTTCTACATCTCCTAGAACTGTCACAGATGAGGTTTCTACGTTAACATCACGAACGGAAACAGGAAAGTCATCATCCATCGAAGTGTCCACAGAATTAACAGATGAAACAAGCTCTGGAACCGTCACTGAAACCCAACAATCATCGACGCCTACCACTGACAAAGAGACAGTTGCTACTTCGTCCGTTGAAACGACCACTGATCTGTTGTTAAGTACAACTACATCATCTAGAACTATCACTGATGAGGTATCTACGTTAACATCACAAACAGAAACAGGAAAGTCATCATCCATTGAAGTGTCTACAGAATTAACAGATGAAACAAGCTCTGGAACTGTTACTGAATCCCAACAATCTTCGACTTCTACCACTGACAAAGAGACAGTTACTACTTCGTCCGTTCAACCTTCCACTGATCTGTTGTTAAGTACTTCTACATCTCCTAGAACTGTCACAGATAAGGTTTCTACGTTAACATCACAAACAGAAACAGGAAAGTCATCATCCATTGAAGTGTCTACAGAATTAACAGATGAAACAAGCTCTGGAACTGTCACTGAATCCCAACAAACCTCAACGACTAGCACTGACAAAGAGAAAGTGGCTCCTTCGTCCGTTCAACCTTCCACTGATCTGTTATTAAGTTCAACTACGTCATCTAGTATTATCACTGATAAGGTTTCTACGTTAACATCACAAACAGAAACAGGAAAGTCATCATCCATCGAAGTGTCCACAGAATTAACAGATGAAACAAGCTCTGGAACTGTTACCGAAACCCAACAATCTTCGATGTCTACTACGGACAAAGAGATAGTTACTCCTACATCCGTTCAACCTACCACTGATCTGCTGTTAAGTACTACATCTCCTAGCACTGTCACAGATGAGGTTTCTACGTTAACATCACGAACGGAAACAGGAAAGTCATCATCCATTGAAGTGTCCACAGAATTAACAGATGAAACAAGCTCTGGAACTGTTACTGAATCCCAACAATCTTCGACTTCTACCACTGACAAAGAGACAGTTACTACTTCGTCCGTTCAACCTTCCACTGATCTGTTGTTAAGTACTTCTACATCTCCTAGAACTGTCACAGATGAGGTTTCTACGTTAACATCACGAACGGAAACAGGAAAGTCATCATCCATCGAAGTGTCCACAGAATTAACAGATGAAACAAGCTCTGGAACCGTCACTGAAACCCAACAATCATCGACGCCTACCACTGACAAAGAGACAGTTGCTACTTCGTCCGTTGAAACGACCACTGATCTGTTGTTAAGTACAACTACATCATCTAGAACTATCACTGATGAGGTATCTACGTTAACATCACAAACAGAAACAGGAAAGTCATCATCCATTGAAATGTCTACAGAATTAACAGATGAAACAAGCTCTGGAACTGTTACTGAATCCCAACAATCTTCGACGTCTACCACGGACAAAGAGATAGTTACTCCTACGTCCGTTCAACCTACCACTGATTTGCTGTTAAGTACAACTACATCACCTAGCACTGTCACAGACGAGGTTTCTACGTTAACATCACGAACGGAAACAGGAAAGTCTTCATCCATTGAAGTGTCCACAGAATTAACAGATGAAACAAGCTCTGGGACTGTTACCGAAACCCAACAATCTTCGACGTCTACCACTGACAAAGAGATAGTTACTCCTTCGTCTGTTCAACCTACCACTGATCTGCTGTTAAGTACAACTACATCAGCTAGCACTGTCACAGATAAGGTTTCTACGTTAACGTCACAAACGGAAACAGGAAAGTCATCTTCCATTGAAGTGTCCACAGAATTAACAGATGAAACAAGCTCTGGAACTGTTACCGAAACCCAACAATCTTCGACGTCTACCACTGACAAAGAGATAGTTACTCCTTCGTCTGTTCGACCTACCACTGATCTGCTGTTAAGTACAACTACATCAGCTAGCACTGTCACAGATAAGGTTTCTACGTTAACGTCACAAACGGAAACAGGAAAGTCATCATCCATTGAAGTGTCTACAGAATTAACAGATGAAACAAGCTCTGGAACTGTTACTGAATCCCAACAATCGTCGACGTCTACCACTGACAAAGAAATAGTTACTCCTTCGTCCGTTCAACCTTCCACTGATCTGTTGTTAAGTTCAACTACATCATCTAGTATTATCACTGATAAGGTTTCTACGTTAACGTCACAAACGGAAACAGGAAAGTCATCTTCCATTGAAGTTTCAACAGAATTAACAGATGAAACAAGCTCTGGAACTGTTACTGAATCCCAACAATCTTCGACGTCTACCACTGACAAAGAGATAGTAACTTCTACATCCGTTCAACCTACCACTGATCTGCTGTTAAGTACTACATCTCCTAGCACTGTCACAGATGAGGTTTCTACGTTAACATCACGAACGGAAACAAGAAAGTCATCATCCATTGAAGTGTCCACAGAATTAACAGATGAAACAAGCTCTGGAACTGTTACTGAATCCCAACAATCTTCGACGTCTACCACTGACAAAGAGATAGTTACTACTTCGTCCGTTCAACCTTCCACTGATCTGTTGTTAAGTACTTCTACATCTCCCAGCACTGTCACAGATGAGGTTTCTACGTTAACGTCACAAACGGAAACAGGAAAGTCATCATCCATTGAAGTGTCTACAGAATTAACAGATGGAACAAGCTCTGGGACTGTTACCGAAACCCAACAATCTTCGACGTCTACCACTGACAAAGAGATAGTTACTCCTTCGTCTGTTCAACCTACCACTGATCTGCTGTTAAGTACAACTACATCAGCTAGCACTGTCACAGATAAGGTTTCTACGTTAACGTCACAAACGGAAACAGGAAAGTCATCTTCCATTGAAGTGTCCACAGAATTAACAGATGAAACAAGCTCTGGAACTGTTACCGAAACCCAACAATCTTCGACGTCTACCACTGACAAAGAGATAGTTACTCCTTCGTCTGTTCGACCTACCACTGATCTGCTGTTAAGTACAACTACATCAGCTAGCACTGTCACAGATAAGGTTTCTACGTTAACGTCACAAACGGAAACAGGAAAGTCATCATCCATTGAAGTGTCTACAGAATTAACAGATGAAACAAGCTCTGGAACTGTTACTGAATCCCAACAATCGTCGACGTCTACCACTGACAAAGAAATAGTTACTCCTTCGTCCGTTCAACCTTCCACTGATCTGTTGTTAAGTTCAACTACATCATCTAGTATTATCACTGATAAGGTTTCTACGTTAACGTCACAAACGGAAACAGGAAAGTCATCTTCCATTGAAGTTTCAACAGAATTAACAGATGAAACAAGCTCTGGAACTGTTACTGAATCCCAACAATCTTCGACGTCTACCACTGACAAAGAGATAGTAACTTCTACATCCGTTCAACCTACCACTGATCTGCTGTTAAGTACTACATCTCCTAGCACTGTCACAGATGAGGTTTCTACGTTAACATCACGAACGGAAACAAGAAAGTCATCATCCATTGAAGTGTCCACAGAATTAACAGATGAAACAAGCTCTGGAACTGTTACTGAATCCCAACAATCTTCGACGTCTACCACTGACAAAGAGATAGTTACTACTTCGTCCGTTCAACCTTCCACTGATCTGTTGTTAAGTACTTCTACATCTCCCAGCACTGTCACAGATGAGGTTTCTACGTTAACGTCACAAACGGAAACAGGAAAGTCATCATCCATTGAAGTGTCTACAGAATTAACAGATGGAACAAGCTCTGGAACTGTTACTGAAACCCAACAATCTTCGACGTCTACCACTGACAAAGAGTTAGTTACTCTTTCGTCCGTTCAACCTACCTCTAATCTGCTGTTAAGTACAACTACATCAGCTAGCACTGTCACAGATAAGGTTTCTACGTTAACGTCACAAACGGAAACAGGAAATTCATCATCCATTGAAGTGTCTACAGAATTAACAGATGAAACAATCTCTGGAACTGTTACTGAATCCCAACAATCTTCGACGTCTACCACTGACAAAGAGATAGTTACTCCTTCGTCCGTTCAACCTTCCACTGATCTGTTGTTAAGTACTTCTACATCTCCTAGCACTGTCACAGATGAGGTTTCTACGTTAACATCACGAACGGAAACAGGAAAGTCATCATCCATCGAAGTGTCCACAGAATTAACAGATGAAACAAGCTCTGGAACTGTTACTGAAACCCAACAATCGTTGACGTCTACCACTGACAAAGAAATTGTTACTCCTTCGTCCGTTCAACCTTCCACTGATCTGTTGTTAAGTTCAACTACATCATCTAGTATTATCACTGATAAGGTTTCTACGTTAACATCACAAACAGAAATAGGAACGTCGTCATCCATTGAAGTATCTACAGAATTAACAGATGAAACAAGCTCTGGAACTGTTACTGAAACCCAACAATCTTCGACGTCTACCACGGACAAAGAGATAGTTACTCCTTCGTCTGTTCAACCTACCACTGATCTGCTGTTAAGTACTACATCACCTAGCAATGTCACAGATGAGGTTTCTACGTTAACGTCACAAACGGAAACAGGAAAGTCATCTTCCATTGAAGTGTCTACAGAATTAACAGATGAAACAAGCTCTGGAACTGTTACTGAATCCCAACAATCTTCGACATCTACCACTGACAAAGAGATAGTTACTCCTTCATCCGTTCAACCTACCACTGATCTGCTGTTAAGTACAACTACATCACCTAGCACTGTCACAGATGAGGTTTCTACGTTAACATCACTAACAGAAACGGGGACGACGTCATCCGTAGAGGTGTCTACAGAATTAACAGATGAAACAAGCTCTGGAACTGTCACAGAAACTCATCAGACCTCAAGGACTACAATGGACAAAGAGACATTTGCACCTCCGTCGGTTCAAACAAACAACGATCTATTGTTAAGTACAACTAAATTACCAGCCACTGTCACAGATAAGGTTTCTACACTTACATCAGTAACAGAAACAGGAATGTCGTCATCCGTTGTGGCGTCTACAGAATTAACACATGAAACAAACTCTGAAACTGTCACGGATAATCAACAGTCCTCCACATTTACAACTGACAAAGAGACAGTTGCTTCTTCGTCGTTTGATACATCCACAGATCTATTGACAAGGTCGAGTACTCATGGTTATTCTGAAAGTCCCGAAGTTCCTACGACTACATTAGAGACAGAAATTGGAAAGTCGTCATCTATTCCTCCATCTACACACGTACTAGTTGTTACACTTAATAATACTGTCACTGAATATCCTGTGCTCTCTACAAGTACCGAACACAATGGATCGGTTGGTCCTTCATCGGTTGAACCATCAACATATTTTCCAACAGTATCTAATACCATCCTTGTTACTTATCCTGTGGAGCCATCAACAAATTCTCCAATATCTGTATCTTGGTCTTCTTCCTCCATTAGTTCATCGTCGGATCCTTCTATAGGTACGAGTACTGAGCCTGGTACCGGAAGAACAGTGCTTTCTACACGTATTCCTTCAACTGAATTTGTCACGCCCACATCTGCTGAATCTTCGACCGATTTTATTACTGATACATCTACTGAAATTGTATCTTCTTCTATAATATCTTCTACTATCTCTGTGAAACTTCCATCTACTTCAAAATCTCCTATGGATAAGACAGAATGCAAAACTTCTGGCTTTTTCCCTAATCCAAATGATTGCTCTAAGTTCTTCAGATGTGTTCAAGTTAACCTTTTCAATATGTTTACTAGATTCGATTTCGTTTGTCCCGACGGAACTGTTTGGGATCAAGCATTGTTAACCTGCAATTATCCTTCAGCTGTATTACATTCCAATTGTAAGAATAGTGTATTACATCCATCAGATATTGATGATGAGCCTGATATGGCAGAAGGCAATAACATGTGTCCTATTGGAAAATTGTCTGGTGATCAAATCGCTCTTGTTTGTCCTACCGGTTTTCGAAGACATCCTAAGTATTGTAATATTTTCTATCAATGCACATCTAAAAGTAATTTGGACGTGAATATTGCCATGTTTGCATGCCCTGATGGTATGATTTACGATCAAGGTAAAATGCAATGTGTTTTCGCAGATGTGCTTAATTACCGTATATTAGGATGTAAAAATGTTCTTATAAATCCAGTGGATAACCTAGTTCCTATCGTGAGTATTTAATTTCTTTTATTTTATTATAATGTTATTAGTTTTGCAAATGCATATTTTTTATTTTCAGTTGACCGTTCCGTCTACACAACTGTGTCCATCCGAAGGCTCGTTCCCGTATCATCCAGGTTGCTCAAATGCATACTTCAAATGTAAACGCAATCGGAAGGGCTCACTACTAGGCTATCTCTATAAATGCCCTCTTGAATACGTGTTCTCTCCTTTTTCAAAAAAATGTGAACCAGCAGAACTTTTTCCACTTTGTTTAAATCCTTATCCGAATATGCAAATGAATGCATCCTCTAATGGTTTGCATTTGACTCATCATAACATCTTTTATAATTAACTTGAATTTTTATAAACTTAGAACAGTTTTACACTTACTATCATCATTGACAATAATTTATATTTATTGATTGACATAAAGGAATAATTTTTATAAAATTCAAGAAATATTGTTAAAAATTATTGAAAATGAGTGGATATCCAATGATATAATAAAACTGAAATTATAGACATGATAAATATAATAATCTTATATAAATCTACTTCCAACTGCTAAATCAAAGGGACATCGTTCTCTTTTCAACGTCAACGTTACAATTAGTAGAACGGCTATTTATATGAAGAACAATAAAAGTCAACAAGCTTTGAATCTGCCTTGAGGTTTTATCGCATTAACATCATCACTGTTGTGGAACTTAATAAAAATATGGTAAATAAATAGTCGTCTATTTATTTTCTATGATTATTTTACAATAATATTATACCCGTAGTCTTCTATTATTTGAATATCATACAAATTTAATTACACTTAATTATTGAATCAATAAAAATCATCAAAAATGATGATTTCATCATCAAGAACAGAGTACGTTGATAATGTCAATATCTTTACGTCGGTAATATCGGCAACGTTAGTAATGTCGGTAACACGTTGAGTACGTCGGTAATCTCGAATATATTTCTTAATCGTGTATGTTACGTCTGAGGTTGTTGCTGCAATCAACTAATTGAACTTATCTATAGCTATATTGAATCACTAAAAGTTACAATTGGTTATTTAACAAGGCATGTTGGCAGAAGATCTAATGAAACACGTTTGCTTCATTCGTTAAATGTTTAAAGTATTCGAAAAAGAACATATAGTGGTATCTTTTATCCCGCGTACGCGAACTCAAGGTTTCGAAACGATTTTGGCTCAGTAACAAAACAGAAGCATGCCACGGTACTAATACGAAGTTAATAAATGAGAGCATAGCTTAATAATCAAAAGGATGTATTCGTGGCAACTATTCAATCTCATGCTGAAGCGAGTTAATTTTAAATATACTAATAGCAACGTCAACTTGTCCTCATTTTCCAGACGCTTTAATACTCGTATTAAATTTGGAGGTTATCGTAAAAGGATAGATTTGTGGTTTAAAGAGCAGAATGCACAGGTAGCTAAGGCATGCACCAGGCAATGTGAATTTATAGTGGCACAACGCATTAAACGAAGTATTCAAATATGTCATCTCTATACGAAAATGTGGGATGAAGTGGCTTTGAAAGAAATTATTAAATTATGGAAAACACGAGTTATAAGAAATTCTCGACAATTTCTAATTGGTACTATTGGAGTGAGTGTGTATAATTGGGATCTTGAAAGAATATCCGACGAAGAGGTCAATAGGTAAAGTTTCTTTTACACACTGTAACTTTGAAAAAAAAAAAACATTTGTCTTATGTAATACATTTATTAGTTAATGTTCTATACGTAATACAATATAGATACCACTGTTTATGCTTGTACTATAGTTATAGCCAAGAAATAGAGGATATCTACAAATTAAGAGATTGTACTGTCATATGTACAAACTGTCACCTACGAATTATAATTGACAATGCTAGCAAACAACCCGGAATAGAATATTGCAAATGTGATGGTGTCAAAACAAATACAAATAAAGATCGTATGCTATGGACTATATTTCTTTTATCTATAAAATATAAATATAAAATATTCTATATTTTATTTTTCTATATTTGTTTATAACAACTTACAGTTAATTTTTTATTTAGCAGATGGATGGCAACCATATATTGAACGTCAAGATATGTTAGTCTGGAGACGACAGGAACCGGATACAGGTTTATTTGCATATAAAGTTTACGGATCTTTCCCGGATGTCACAGCTGAGGATTTTTTACAAGTACAAATTGATATAGATTATAGGAAACAATGGGATACAACTGCTCAAGAATTACAAATTATTGATACTGACCCACGGTCTACAAAATCTAATAATCATAGTGCTGATGTTATATATTGGGAAATGATTTGGCCTGTATGAGTTTAAGTTTTATTAAATAGTTCAAAATTATATAAATATATTAAAAAATTATATATTTGCAGAAATTATTTGCTAATCGAGATTATGTATATCAACGTAGATGGGTTATAGATAAAGATAAAAGGGTGGTGGTTATTGTTAGTAAAGGAACTGACCATCCAAATGCACCTGTTAAACCTGGAACTCATAGGTATGTTCGTAAGTAAACTTACAAACATAAATTTAACCCTTATCCGAGCGAAACGAATTCGATGAACTTATGCTTATTTTTTTATTAATAATATAAATAGTATTTAAGGTTTTAAAATTCTTTTCATGTATTCTTTTAATATGTCAAGTTAATTATGACCTTTTAAGTAAAAAATGTTGTCTTTTTCGGAAGTGAAAAAAATTCACATATATGATTTTATTACATAAGTAAGCAGTAAATCTGTCAGACTCTGAGCTATTTTTTCAGAAACCTCCAGAAATCTGGCAGGTTCTCAGTGCATCTTAGAATGAATGATGAAAGGCGATCACAAGATAATTCCAACAAAATGCATAAAAGGTTTAGTAAGCTGAAAATTGCAACTTTTATGATTCTATAACAATTATAGTAGTTAATTCATTTAATCCTTATTATACCCTAATAAATAAGTTATTCAAAAGTTATGTATTATTACAAATTTATCTCGAAAAGAAAGTATACTCTTCATTAATATAGTGTGATATACTCATATATTCTAATGGACTCCAACTGCATGTCTATATTACATAAATAGACCATCCGGATAAGGGTTAAGTAGAAAATTCATAAATTATATGCTCAAAATAATTATCATATAATAATATAAGTTATAAATACAATAGAGTAAGAACATACTGGTCATACATGGTGATTAAACCTTACAAAGATTTTCAACAGCCTGGTATCGAGTTTGGCTTAACTTACTTTGATGATCCTGGTATGAGAGTGCCATCAGCTATCACTGCATGGGTAGCAATTGCAGGTATACTATTGTAACTCACAAATATCTCTATTATATAACAATTATTTCTTATTATATAATAAATATCTCTATTATATAGGGTTGTCAGATTTTTTAACTCGCATGAGACAAGCATCGAAAGATTACAAAAAATATAAAACGAAGCAAAACAATGTGACATCCAATAATCATAATGTAATGGGTCAAGATAATCTTACTGAATATGACGATTTACATAAAGATATGAATAGAACAGAAAAAGATAAAAACTTTAGAGAATATGAAGTCGTAAAAGAAGATAATTCAAAACATGGTGAAGCCATTCAACATACCAAACCATTAGAAGTTATGCAATCTATGAACGAAAAAACTGATATAGAAGAAAATAATGTAGAAGAAAACGAAGACAAAGATAATGTTGCTAATCCAATGTCTCAAGATAAAGGAGGTTTATTAAACTATTTTTTTTTGAGTAGATTATTTGCGTGACAAGGAATTGTAGTCTTTATTTTTATACAAATAATTTGGAATATTGAAGCCTTTTTCATGATTTTACATGAAAATAACTTTAATTTCAGTTTCAATTTAATTACAAATACGTTGATTTATCTTATTAGTACAATAAAAAAATAATACATATTTTTTTATTTTGATTATATACGGAAAATTTCAAGAATATTATAGAAATATATATTTTCAATATTCAAATTATTTTTCGAGATTACTTATTGTATTATAGGTTCAGAATGCAAAAAAGAAGTAAATTTGATAAGCAGATTTTAAGACTCTGTCATTGAAAATCTATACTATTTTATCAGTGTATGATTTATGCATTTATTGCAGTTGTACAAATCAATATAGCTAATGATCAATAATACATCGTATTTATGTATGATACTGAAGTATACTGTGAAATTAAGAGAATCAAGAAATACTAAATAGAAGAAATCTATTATTTTGTAACTAATTGAATCATCTAATATTAGCATATATACTTTTCATTTACTTTAATACATTATTTTAACTGTACAGTTATATACTGTTCAGTATTTTAATTGCGTAATTTATTTTAATAAAGTTGCCTTTATCTACAATTACCAACACGAACTACTGTTTTTAAATCTATTTTTTATCATGTATACATCCACTCTCATTGTAATTGCATCCATTGGCTATCATTGCATAATCTCCATTTATTTATTTTTTGATTTATACAAAAGACCAAATGATATCATATAGTAGTACTATTACATTAGTATTTACCAATACTTCAGTAATATTAGAATGAAAAGTATATAATATAAAAATAAAATCATATATTAGAGAAAATTAAAAATGTTTATAATCGTATATAAAAAAAAAACATAATCGTATATAAAAAAAATCGTATATAAAATATTATATTTTTATTCATTAATTACACATTTGTTACTTCAGTTAAACTATCATAAAAATATATTTCTTCTGCTAATATAGCACAAGAAATAAATGCTTCGTCCTCTGAATCCAATTGAAAATTGATTTCTTCAGGAAGCTTTTTTGGACTAGATATAAAATCAGAACAATTTTCATCATGACATTTCTGATACATAACTTGTTTAGTTAAGTCAACGATCCAATAGATATTATTACTTTTGTGCCATCTTCCTATATTTTCACAATACCTATGCAATATTTCAAACAAGGTATTTTATATAAGTTTATGATTATTCATTTTTAATAGAAATTATTAATATGTAATTTATTTTACTTGAAGTGTATGTTTTATTATTATCCAGCATCTATCTTCATAACCTTAAAAATATAAAAAAAAGTATGAAGAAAAAGACTGAAAAATCACTCTTTAAAAAATTCCTTAGTAATAATAATAATAAAATATACACTCCATATAAGACAATATTATGAATTATAAATATTAAGTATTAATACCTGTAACCAACGATTTCGTAAATTAGTGTCCTCAATTGTTCATTATATCTACATCGACGTATTTTTCCTGGTTTAATAATATTTAATATATATTTATCAATTTCAGGATACTGTGATGATATATTATGACTTGTTATGTTTATTTGTCGCGCTTGTTCTTTGTTAGAATGTCTTGTAACCCGTGCCTCGTCATTAGCAAACTCAAGTAAAATTAAATCTTTTTTTCTTGGAAAATATGTTACTAAAGAATTGATAAAAAATTCTAACTCTTGTTCCTTGTACATGTTTGGTAATGTGTATTTAGAATCAGATGAAATTTCCAAATGAGATTGTTTACCCCATTTGGTAGATTTGTATATTCTAAAATGTCTATTTTTTGTATAAACACCAATATCAATAAACAATTTTCTTTCACTTTTTGTATTAATATATATAAATAACTCTTCAATATTAATTTTACTGAAAGTACCTAAAATGTCGTGGTGTGTTTCAGTATTATTTAAATAATTTGTTATTTCTGTACAAACATATTTCATAAATCTTCCGACATGAAAATTATCTTTAAAAGCAACATCTTTGATAGCAAATATTAAATGTCTACTAAATTTTTCATTGTTTGTAGAATCCAAATTAATAATATTAGATTTATTGCATGGAAGATGCCATTCTTTTAACATAAATGCACACAAAATATCAATAAGTGTGCTAGTCATACGTGAGCCATTACTTTTAGGATTCAATTCGAATAGAAATTCCAAATCCACATATAACCTACATGGAGCTCTTTCTGGTATAACCTAAATTAAAATTACGTTATGAATTTCTTCTTTGTTATAAGCAAATATAATTTTTTTATTTTACGATTGTTATATATAAAGATGTAAATGTAAATGTTTATAGAAAAGGTCAATTGAAACGTCCTAAAAATCTATTGTTTATCATTAAATAATCACCTCATAGGAGCATCTTGATTCAGGAGGTCTATCTTTATAGTACCACCAATAAACTTCGGGATGAGCTACAACAAATTTTCTAACTCCATTATCCTGTTGATATACAAACGTACAAAGCATTTCATTATCATTGGCATGTTTACTGGCCACAGCTAGTGCTTCTGCTTGTTTATAAAATTCAGCCCAAAACTGTGGTGGACCCAAAATATGGTCAGGCATTTTTCTTAAATAATTTATGTTCAATTTGTTTTTTAATTTCTTTCTTCTATCAATGGCTTGTAATTTAGCCATCTTTTGACCATAAAATTGTTCTGGTTTCAACACATCCATTTTAATAAAAACGCGGCAACAAACCGAAAACTTCTTACTTCAATGCTACCAATATTAAAATTTATACATATATTTATTCATTTGAATAATAACAATAATAATATTAGATTTAACTTACAAAGATTTGTCTATTAATAAATATCAAAGTAATATATTAAACATTAATATATTTATATTTCTTTTTATACTTTATTTTTGCATGCTACAAACAATTGTGTAGAAGAGTTTTTATTGGCCCATGTTTAAGCCAGCGATTTGATTGGTAACTAGATACACTATATGTAATGTTGTGTAGATACACGACTCTCTTCATTGTTTGTTCCTTTTCCGAAAACTGCGTTACGGTCTTGTACGTTTTTAATATGTTATTTTAAAAAATCTTTTTAATCCTGCTTTTTTAAAAGACAAATTAAAAAATTATATATCTTTCAAATTGTAATAATATTCATTTTAGCTTTTCCATTTGTTCGTATGAATCATAAATTTTCTTAATAGTGTATTTTATTACGTTAAACATAACCTTGATTGTTATTATACGTAAATACATGTAACATTAATTTTTCTATTTAATATTTCAGCAGTTTTCCGAGTAGAATTAAAAATGGCTAAGTCAAAAAATCACACTAATCATAACCAAAGTAAGTAAACGTATATTAAATTTGATTCAAATCTCTTCGATTTTGATGTAGATTTTATATTTGATAATATGAGTCTGATACTAAATTTTTATCATAAATGTGTGTTTATATAAAAATTATAACGCAATTTTAAAAGATTAATAGATTTTTAATGTTTACATAAAATTAATGAATTGAAGTATTTATATCATACGAGGTTTGTTTTAATTTTTTTTAGATAGAAAAGCGCATCGCAATGGCATTAAAAAGCCCAAGCGTTATAGACATGAATCTACGCTAGGAGTAAGTTTATTTCAATTAATCTAATTAAGTCTATTAACATTGAAAAAATTTTTATAAAAATTAATATTACAGATGGATTTAAAGTTCTTGAGGAATCAACGATTCGCAAAAAAACACAATCTTAAGCCACAGGCTCAATTGAAGAGGGCAGAAAAGCGAAAAGCTCTTCGTGAAGCTAAAAAATAAGTTGTATTATGTTTTTATTAAAATAAAAATCTAATATTACTTTATATTTGCTTTATTTTTACTATAGGTTTCATTGAAAATTAGTTGGAATTGATATATTGCATCAATCTTACCATAGTATATTACAATTACTATTTATATTTTTTGGTATAAATCCTTAGTATTATTTTACTTAATTACGTAATAAACTGACAAATGACTAAATAACATTTAAATGTAAAAAGAAGACAATTATTTGTAAATTGGTAAGATTCTAAAAATTTTAGTTTAATTTGTAGAATGACTAAAGTAGTAAGTAACTAATATGGCTACGATAGCGAACATGATGGATGATACTACAGCGCATAGTTTTAAAAATTCAAAAAAGCCGAAGTATATTTTACTTTTTAGTGGGAAACGAAAGTGTGGAAAAGATTTCATTACAGATATCTTGCATACAAGGTATAATAATTTATTCACTGTTTATAATTATGTACGTAAATTATTTACGTGGAAGATATTAATGCAAGATAAATCAGTGTGTTGAAATATTTCAAAAATATTTTCAAGTATACGATATTAATATTCATAAAAAATTATTTGTACGTAAAATAATAGAGATACATTTTTTAAATGTTTAAAACATTTTATTAATTTATTTTTATAAATATATTTTATATATTTATTTTTAACCTAGATTAGGTGATCATGAAAGTGTAATTATAAAACTGTCCGGACCAATAAAAACTTATTGGTCAAAAAATGCTGGTCTTGATTTAAATAAATTATTAGATACCAGTGAATATAAGGAACAGTATCGCTATGAAATGATCAAATGGAGTGAATCTATAAGAAAAAAAGATAATGGATATTTTTGTCGTGCTGCTATTGACATGTATGATGGTAATGCAGAACAAATATTTTGATTATATTTACATATAATAGAACATTGAACTTTTAAAGTGCTTTTTAGCATATGATAAACCAATCTGGATAGTAAGCGATACTCGTCGAAAAACAGATATTCAATGGTTTAAAGAAAATTATATAGATCTTTGTAAAACAATCCGTATAATTACTAAAGTAGAAATAAGACAACAACGTGGATGGAAATTTATAGCAGGTAAAAATTATAAGCTGTAAAACACAATTATAGTCTAATATTTTAAATTTTAAAGTGTACTTAAACAATAATTATTTTTAGATATTGATGATGCAGAAACAGAATGTGATCTGGATGATTTTGATAGCTGGGATTTACAAGTTGAAAATAATGATAATGATTTAGAAACTGTTTTACAACAAATATTAAAATTAATTAGTTAATAGATTATATAAAATATGTATAAAATTTAACATGTTTACTTAACCTATATAAATTTTTATTACACAAATTTAATTTTGCATGTATTTTTATGGCTAATTGAAAAATAAATTATAATTAAACTTATTATAGAAAGAATATTATTTATTATAAAATAAAATTAATAACATTTTTGTTTAAAAAAGATAATAACTCATACGATACTTCTTGCATTATTCTTTAATAATTTGTAGAATCATATAAGCAAACTTTTCAGTAAGGAAATATTAGGAGTATAAAGAAGTTATTCAACATTACAATGAATTATTCTCTTGCTTGAAAACTTCTTTCACAAACTACGAGATATGCTTATTTTCATCCAGGTATCAGTCATCAAATATACGATGCGTGCGCATATGCATGAAGTTTTCTGCGATTAAAATAATTCTTTGTACGTACTTTAAATGTTACCGAAAATGCTTATGTTTTTATTTTAAAGTTTGCTCTAAACCAAGAAGTGCATCATTATAATTGAGAATTAGTTCTTTCTTTATTACAATATTTCAAGCAGAGAACGTCAATCGTAAAATGGTTGAACATTCAATTCCTTCCGATATTCTCGATGACCTTAGTAGGTTAGTTACATCTGTTTTTGTTCTTTTTATTAGATACACAATTGACTACTAATCTTTTAATATCAAAAATTTTATAAAATTATAACAAAAATGTAGAGAGATAAAGATACTTAGAATGGCATTTATTTTATTACAGTCGGTTTATTATTAATGTACCTGAAGAAGAAAGGAAAGATTTAGTTCGAATATGCTTTCAAATAGAACTTGCTCATTGGTTTTACTTAGATTTTTATTGCATAGAAGAAAATCCAAAATTAAAAACATGTAGTATGAAGGAATTCGCTACACATATTTTTCAACACATTCCATTTTTAAAGCCACATGTTGCAAATATAGATACGGTTTTAGAACAATGGAGAGAATATAAACAAAATGTGCCAACATTTGGAGCAATTGTTTTAAACGAAGACTTAACAAAAGTATTATTAGTACAAAGTTATTGGGCTAAAAGTAGTTGGGGCTTTCCAAAAGGCAAAGTAAATGAAGATGAAGATCCTTCACATTGTGCTGTTCGAGAAGTATTGGAAGAAACTGGCTTTGATATATCAAATTTAATAGATAAAGACGAATATATAGAATCTGTTATAAATGACCAAATTGTTCGATTATATATAATATCAGGTGTACAAAAAGATACCAAGTTTCAACCTAAAACTAGAAAAGAAATAAAGAATGTTGAATGGTTTTCACTGGCCGATTTGCCTAGCAATAAAAAAGATATGACACCCAAAGTAAAGATGGGAGTTGGACCAAATGCATTTTTTATGGTTGTTCCGTTTGTAAAGTAAGCATTCTTATGATTCATTGTTTGAAAAATAACAGTGACAATGCAATAATTTTTTCTTAAGTAAAATACAGTAATATATATGACATAGGAAAATGAAACGTTGGGTACAAGAGAAGCAACAGCGTGAAAAAAATTTAATTACAAGGAGACATAGGCATAAATCATTGGGGGATGTTGAATCAATTTCTAAAAGTAAACGGCAACAACAATTATTTTCTCAAACGGTTCAAGTAAAGAAACATTTTATATTAACTAGGTATACGTATATATATATGTATTCAGATCTATGTAGTATTTATATTGAAATATTTTTTTATGTAACACTTATAGAATGAGGTCCTAGATTTTAAAAGCGTTCGACAATCAAATACTTCACCAGCTAGAAGTCGTCGTAGCTTATACGATAATAAAAATGCCTTATCAAAAGCAGCATTTAAGCGTAATTTGTTTGGTGAACAAAGTGGCGATCGTTCGCCATTTACTTTAGCTAAACAGTTGACAGATAGTCCACAGGGTCAACAGTCATATTCATTTTTAAATGACCCTGCCATTCAATCGGTTAAATGTAATGATTTTAATTATAAAGGAAGAAAATCTGAAGAAGGAATTAAAGGTTAGATGATTTTGAATTATATACTAAAAATTGATTTCAACTTAAATTAATCAAATAATTTTTTCTCTTTCATATAGTGTATATATGATAAGTAAAAACTTTATATTTCAGGTTTACCAGAAGGAAATATCAAATCATTATTATTTGGCGAAGCTGCTCGTAAATTAAAAACGGATTTTAAAGCAATACCTTCTCCATTTACGAGTATGGAATGTAGTATTCCAACGTTTCCACCACCAATTCGCTTTAGGTTACATGAATATTCATCAGAATTGTGTTCTAAAATTTGGATACATTTTAAATTTGATAAACAGGCAATTCTGAATTGTTTGTAAAATAGAAACAATAATTATATCGCGTAGACCAAAAAGAGTTTAAACTAATGGGTAAATCCGATATTGCAGTCTACTCTTTACAAGTATATTTTCTCTTGAAAGCATATTTCTAAGCATAAGACATAAATGATCCGTGTATAAAAACTTTGATATATTCTGTAGATAATATTATTGTAATGGATGGTATTTCGTGTAGATATATACTTACAAAATAGTATTTCCTGAAATAGTCTTACAAAACATATCTCAAAGCAATTTGCATAAATTTTGATTATATTAAATTTATCATCATATGGCATATTTATTTACAGTAGTGCAATAAATTAATACCTTCTTAACTTTTTATTTTGACAATGTATACTTTATATAATTTGGAGCTATATTTTCAGTACTATACAAATAGTAATAAATGTATATTCTTTGAATTGCATCACATGAAAAATGTTCAAGTTCGCATACATAAAAATACGATGGAGCAGTATTTGATATTGTCTTTAACTATTTTTGAAGTTTTCGTATAATTTTTTTATTTCATACAACAAAGAAGTTGTTGTTTTGTACAAGTTTACGTCAAGACAATTATCGTTGGAATAATAATATAACTTAGGTAGATTTTTATTTTAACTAAATGTTATCATAATCCATTTTAATGTCAAAATATCAGTAAGGTATATATGTTGTACGATCACACCTAAGATCCTTACGTTGCTTAATAATTTTTGTATTTACTAATAAAATATACTAAAGTATTTTGTAAACGAATAACTCGATCAATAATTAAGAACAATGATATGTTCACTTAAGAAAAAATATGAATAATTTATTTTCAAGAAACAGTGCAATTAGTAAAAATATATACACATAATTTTAGAAAAGATCATAGAGAATGGTTTATTATTGCTATTATTTAAAAAAGACTAGGAAGACAATGAGAATAAGTATGAGTGCACTAATGAAATAAAATATTTTTTTAAAGATAACAGTGCCTGCACCACGTACACTTCTAATAATCTCATTGTTTAAGGCATAAACTATTTTACTTTCTTCAATGAGTTTATTTTTAGTATCTTCATCCAATGTTTCGGCTATTTTATTCATCGCTTCACGTAAATCATGTTTCAATTCAAAAATGCTATGATTTCCAAAGTCCGTAATATTATTGCCACAAGTAGTTACTTCTTTGAAAAGTGAAATTTTTTGCATAAGTTGCCTTTTCCGTCGCAAAATAATTCCTCCACTAAGAAGACCCATATAAAGATGATAAATATATGCCATGAGTAAAGTGGGCTCGGTGTCTTCGATCTCTCTTAAACGCATCAGGTATTTAATAACGCTGTCTCTAAAATAGGGCAATGCATTGAAATGAATAAATATAACACTTTTATAATTATTTTCTGTAAAATTTGACCATTTACTAAAGTTAATTTAGATGAAATAAACAAGAAAGAAATTAAAATAATATGAAAATAATATTCTATATTTGTAAGTAGTTTAAAAAAGAAAAAGATTTCTATTTCCATGAAGCATAATTTTAAACATCAATATTAATGCAAAGAAAGTAAGCTATCAAATGTCCTATGTAAAATACCTAGGACTATAGTTTTTCATCCATCCCTTTCCCAAATAGTATTCAAGATCTTGTTCAAAAGCCTCAGTACGCTGTAACTCGGTAAGTCGTAATAATCCAATTTTTGTGTTTTTTAATCTAATCATTGCACCTTCTAAGTAGCGGAAAATTTCGTAGAAGACCAGAAGACCATCAGCCCATACAGAATCATCGAGAAATCCTACTTAGAAAGATAAAGCTCATCGATATGAGAGTATAAGTTTAATCTAATGCGATGCAAAGCACTAATAATAGTAATAATAATAATAGTAATAATAATAATAATAATAATAATAATAATAATAATAATAATAATAATAATAATAATAATAATAATAATAATAATAAAAGAAGACTATTGCCCAAGCTTAGTTAATAATGTTGATCGCTTGTACAGAAAAACGATTATACAGAAAACATTCAGTATATATGTATGTATATAATGTGATATATACACATTATAATTTTCACATATGTACATATATATGATAATTATGTCTTAACATTTTGTGCATCTTACCGAATGCTAATTTTGCGTTTACCAAAGCATCACTGATGGCATGAATTTCTCTTGTAGCTTTTCGCATTTTTTTACAGAACGTATCTTCTTCTTTGTCCGTCATTTTTGCAAGGGATGTAAACGACTCGTCGTAAAAACCTCGAATGAAGTATTCGTCGATAAATTTACGTTGTCATTTTACCGAATTTCCGCGCGCTTCGGACCTCGTTACAGAACCGTCACTCCAGAAATACCATTGCCATTATGTCGACGTTCCTCATCTAGTTACTCGTCCTGTCGTCGTCGTCGTCGTCTCTCATCTCTACACTCTGCGCGTTCGTAATATACCATTACAAATATTGCTCGTTCGTAAAAGCATTAAAAGATGTCGGTACGTTCTCTTTTTAATAAATAATATATACGATTAGATTATATAAGAACAATTTTCTTTTTCATATTTTATCTAATAATTTATATTAAAAATAATAATTATCTTCATACATGTATTACAGTGTGTATTTGCAGACGCAACTTTTACTAATAATCATTTTTAAATCGAAGCCTCATCCGCATTACATCCTATGGGAAATATCACTTGAAATTCTCTCTTTTGTGTTTCTAATGTTCATGGTTCTATTACGTGAAAATTTCGCGGTAAAAATTTTATATATAAATATAAATAGAATAAAAGAAATACAGATTTCTAACAATAATATAATAATATAATATTCATACTATCATTCTATAATGATTTCGAAAAAACGAAAAAAGTTTTATGAATGTTCAAAGAAAAAACATAAACAAATACAAGAAATCATTTTAACCTACTCATTTCCACGTCGAAAACGTAAGTAAAAATAAAAAATATTAGTTTTATCGCAATATGGAGGACGATTTCTTTTCTTTGATATTTTGGTAGTGTAAAAATTTTTCATGTGAAAATTATAAACAAAAAAATATCATTTTTTGACGCATCCAAGAATTTCTTTGAAATGCTTGTCGTATTTGTGTCCAACGACCGCGTTTTACTGCTTAGAGAAAGGAATCCGCGCAGACCGCAAGATGTCTAGCTGCCGCGCAAGATAACAGGAGAACATATTGTACATGGATTGCCAGACGTGCATACTTTGAATTGCGGAACTGGTTTAAGCTACTTTTATTATACATATATACAATACATACTTAAGCAATAACATCACATCGATTTTTATATTAATTCCAATTTTTTTTCTTATTTTTTTTTAGATATTATTTCAAAAGCATATTATTTATTACATATATATTAAAAATTAATTTTTTAAGATTAAGTATATTGAAAAATTTCTTATTCCCCAAAAAATATCGTATTATAATTTATTTCATTTTATTAACATATTATATTTTATTTAATAAGTTAGAAAGATATAGTATTGTATGTTTTTCCACACAATAATAATAATTGATTAACTATATCGACCTAATTGAATTACTTTTATATATATATGTGTAAATACATACATATATACATATATATACGTACTTATGCAGTTATATTTCATCAGTTTGTTAATTAATTCTATGTTTTTTTTTCTGTATTTTCAGATACTACTTTAAAAAAAGATTGATCAATCTTTATATTTATTATTCATTAAAAATTAATTTGTTAAGGTTAGGTAAATCGAAAATTCTCTTATTCGTAAAAATTCATAATGATTAATCTAATTTTATTAATGTATTATATTTTATATATTAGGATAGAAAAATAAAGTGCTTATTGCTCTGTACGACGACATTGGTTATTAAATAACACGGCGTTATATACGTGTGAGTGCATCCCTCTCTTCGAACGAAAGAAGAACACGTTCATCGTGTATACGCACGCGCCGCCTAGAGGCCAAGTAGTGCGTTGACCTTCGCTAAGGAAGTGCCCATGTCCCCAGGCCGGGTCACACTCGAGTCTTGCGATCGTAGGAAAACATGTACGACAGAAGTATACACAACACGAGTCGCGAACTCATTTTGAAGATACGTTCACATCGAAACAGTTAAAAGAGTAAATAATAATTAAGAAAAATACGAAAGAATACTTCTATTATAAATATTTTTTAAGATAATATTATACTACGTGTATAGATAATTCGCATATAATTATTTTTTATTTTAGATTGAAGTATAACACACGTTTGTTTTCATACTTCTCGAATTATGTAAAACAAATTTAAAAAGATACTTTTGCCATGAACATTTTCCAGGATAATTTATTACTTAAAATTTTTTTTTTTCATTTTAGGTTAAAGTATAACATATACATTTTCATGCTTCATATACGAAATAAGAGAAATCAAAAAAGATACTTTTTTCAATATAATATTATGGTACTTATACAAATAATTATTTACAATGTCCTTTTTTTTTTTATTTTAGGGAAAATTGTAGCACATAAGTGTGAAAGCTTCTTTAACCTTATTTTCATCGGTCATTAGGTTTCGTCTCCTTCCGGAGCTTTCTTCTTCTGCTGCCCTGCTTCCAAGTATTTGCTAAAGGCGGTACGACGTTACAAGAGACTCCACCCATAAGGCTGACATGAACACGTCCAGTACTTGGATCCTTCTCTTTTAGATAACACCTTACCAAGAAGGATGTAAAGGTATCATGGATATGTAGATATTGTTCCTTTTCAATGAACTGGTCTTTTCAGATACTCCTACATTACGACCTTATAAAATAATCAACGTTATATTATTGTACATTAAACATACTGTTGATATTTAATTAATACTTTGTTATTACTTCTATTCTATTGATATTTTCTATTTATGTTAAACTTAATTATACTATATAGAATAGTTTTGTTATATAGAGATATTGTATTAATTAAATTTTATAACGACGTTAAGTACACTTTCAAAATATTAGTTTTTATATATTTGTCAAGTAAAATAAAATAAAATACATAATATATAATAAAACTTCTTTCTGCAACGTATATAGTACATAAGTATATAATAAGTTAGGAGGAAATATTCATAAACAAAGAAAATACGAACTAATTTTTGTAATATTTGACAGTAATAGTTACACTTATTAGTTTATAAATTAATAAAACTAAGCAACTAAGTCGTATGTTAATCGTATAGAATAATAATTTTATATGATTGACAATGAGATAATATATTATTAATATTAACGACAGTTTTACGAAATTTTGATAAAATTTTACGTATTTTTGTGCTGTGAGAGCATGTATTATACAACTTCATGCCATCCTGTTCTTTCATGACTCTGAAGTTGTGCGGACCAGTTGTATTACGAAATCCTCGATTACAAGATCGAGAAACTCCAGCAGTATTATTCTCGCCTAATAGTTTACGAAATGTATTGTCACTTGAGTGTCAATCTGCTTTTTATTACGGTTACGGCTTTAGAATCATAGAAATTAGTTTCGGCATCGTTGAACTTGAAGAGTAAAGGATGGCGCTGAAGTATAAGATCAATTGAAAAAAAAATACATATCCATATCCTATTCAAATATTCTCGCATAATAGTATGCGTGAAATTATTATCATAGTTTGGTACAAAATTTATATATCTAGTAAGATTAACGAGAATTAATTATTAATTTCCAATAAAATTTATTTTCTTTTTCTATCTTCTTTTTCCTAAGAAATATTAAAATTTTTAACTTTAATAAACAATATTATCAATCATTTATTACACGCTACAAATAATTTTGATATCAGTAATACATTACCATAACATGATTGTGTTTTAACGATGGTCATCATATTGTTTAATATCAATCGTAATGCAAAGCAATTTTTCGTGTTTAGAATTAAAATTTTGTAATTTTTTATATTGCATCCCTCGGGTAGAGAATTTATTTGGATCAGTGTCACGCGACCGCGGTAAGCTTCTGTTCTCCTGCTTCGATATATAAAATTTTTCAGGAAAAAGCGCGTAATTTCTGGGTATTCGGTAAGAAATAATATTATATAAGCTTGAAACATCACATATTTTTCAAGCTAATGCATGTATTCTATTTTGTACGAAACAATTTAAATATGTATACACTTATATTTAGTTCTTTAAGTATAATAATTTAAATAGTTTCGACCATAAAACTATAAGTATTGCATGTGTGTCTATATATATATATAAATGTACGCATATTTATATGTACGTATGTGTGTGTACATATTTAAAATATCATAAGTATATACATATGTAAGTATATATATCTTATTAACTATACGCTCGGAAATACTCTATCGAAACAAGCAATACATACACACACACACATTTATCATTTATTATTATCATACATAATCAATATTGTTTTCAATATCAACGATGACCCAGCTGGCAGTGAAAAATTTATAGAAATTATTGCGATTTATTATTAAGTAATTATTTAATAAGTTTGTGAAAAAAATATACCGAGATAATATGAAGTTATTATTGCAATTTTAGATCTCGTGACACGATATTAGATATATATATATATATACGCATATATATATGCGTATATATATACACAAATATATATACATACATAACATGCACACTCTGGCGTCGATTTATCGTTGCATATATGAGTTACATATAACGAGTTTGTTAAATATTACGAAGGAGAATAAAAAGTATAGGTCGAAATATTATGAAGAGAATGAAAAGTATTGTAGACATTGGATGTGGGGGTTTGCAGATGGTCACACTCGACTGAAGTTACCCGGTCGAGGTCACTAGGAGATCAGATTTATCGAGAAGTCGTTGAATCGCGGAAGAGGACCGTTACATTTTAATAAATTATTCTTCGTTATTCTTGAGAGATGTATAGTTTAAGAAGAGTTTTATAAGATTTTTACAAGTTATATCATACTATTATATATAATAATGCATCTTTATGATTGGGAAGATGTTACAAAGGAAACTTTTATTATTTCCTTTTTAATAAATTTTTTATCGACCAATTGATACCAAAGAAAATGTGATGTAGGCTGAGTAATGTTTAGTTTTAATTTTTACAATCGAAAAAATATGTTCAGGAAAAGAAACTTATTGAGAAGAAAATGATAAGCATCAAGAATAAACTATTCGATGAAAGTGTAAATCAGGTAAACTGGAATATTAGTTGTTGATATAAAATTTAAAGATATTGTAGTATGTTAGAAAAAAAAATATAAAATCTTTTGTAATAAATATTTTTTTACCAAGTACTGCATACGATTTTAACGACTGTAAATAATCTAATAAATAATAAAATAAAAATATAATTGAAATAATATTTTCAATTGAAACGTGTAATAATATAGCATGTAAATATTAGAAAAAAAGCAACAACAATCGAGTTGTATATAATCATATACATATGTATAAACTATATTACTATAGTACTCATAAAGGAAGGTCATCGATGAAATGAGACAGAAGAATTTATTTTATTCGTTGGATGCAAGGTGTTGTGCGTAGGTGGACTGATTTAACCTCTAAATAGCGTGTTTTAGAATATGAACATACTCGTTTTCTTTTATTGATAAATCTATTTATTGATAAATGATATCATTTATACTATAATATTGTTAGCAATTTCCTAACCTTAATTAGCAATATATATATATATATATATATATATATATATGTATATAATAAAATATCCCTTCTGAGCAATGATTACCGACGATTAGTAACATAGAGGTTTGCGGTTAATCGATGCAGGAGGAAATTTCCTCTTGGAAAACATCACCTCCTAATAAACGAACTCACTATGCGCGTCGCGTGATACTAGCATTTTGCAATCGCTTGTATATAGCTACTCTATACATTCACAAAGCTCGAAGGATGCATGTATTTTTGCAACTTTTTCAAATAATTCGAATTTTTTTTTTTTATCGACGATCGACTATTTATACAAATCATCGAATTCATTAAAGTGTTATTATCAAAAACCATATAATCCGTTGAAATTGTTCACATGATATATCGCGATGAGAAAGAAAAAAAAAAAGAAAGAGAGAAAGAAAAAAAAAGGTAATTTATTATTCGCTATCACGATTTGTAAAAAATAAAAAATGGCGAAGTGGAAAGGAAGCATAAGTGATTCGTAATAATTCGGATAATAATTCGTCCTTGACCCTTCTTGAAAATTTATGCGCATGAGCGAACAATTTTAACGGTGTTGGGGGATGGTAGAAAGGGAGATGGGATGGAGCGGTGAGAGAAAAGTGGAACGGTATTTCACGAATACGTTCCTCTTCCTACTCATGTATCGCAACGTCTTTTTTATTCGAACCAACTCGGACGATCCTCCTCTCGCGTGTCTCTCGCGTGTAATACGTGCGAGTCATATGCGAAGGAAGGGTTCAGAAATACTGTCAGGCCTTCGAATTGGCGAACCTTTTACTAAGGCAGCATCTTTGATGAAGAAGTGATTCGCAAATTTGCAGCAACGATATATATATATACACATATGCACACACACACACATATACACATAACTTATGTAGTGAAGTACTTTTGCTCTCTCGAGAAGCTAACATAAGTAAGAAACCTCCGTACCCGATATAACATACACACAAATATACAATACCTGTATCTCTTTGCACGAGCAAATCCGGTCTCTTTTCGCCGATATCCACAATATGTATGTGTGTGTGTGTGTGTTGTATGCATATACGTGCTTTTTATAATAGTACATATTTGCATTGTCTGGTATATTTTACTATCACGTGACTTTCTTATTCATTTATCTATGTATTGCTCGAATACATTTTATACGATGGATAATATATGCAAATACATGTGGCATTAATAATTAATCAAATATGGATGAGGCTTGTGTATAAGTAATAAGTAAAACTCTAGATACTTAAAACACGAGTAGGATTTGAAGAATTTTAATTTGTTTATAAGGGATGAAAAAAATATAATAAATTATAGATATATTTTTTGACAGATTTATGTTCCATGTAATATGATGATATATATTCCTCAGTTAAGTATAATATTTGGTAAAATCACTACAAGATACATACATAGAACATTAGTGATTCGAGATACTTCAGATAGTCATACTGAGAATAACCTGTTGAGCAATTTTAGTTTATTTGTAAGGCGGCTAGTATGATGTCGAGTTGGTACTCCAACTGAACGAGTTTCAGGATCGATCGGTCGAAGTCGCGCGCACCTTTGTGTAGCGGCAAAATTCGAACTTCTATAAATCCGTAGATGCAACTCGCTTTTTGATAAAATTAAAAGAAAATACACGAGAATATGGAAGATTTTAGATAATTAGAGTAAAAGAAAATTCGAGTAACTTTTAAGTTACTTAGATTGATAATATATAAGTAAATTTTTATTAAAATAATCTTAGAATTGTGTTGAATAAAAAAGTGAAAAGAAAATGCATTTTTAGCTACAACGAGCACCATTTCAATCGTTGAGAGATTTATACAAAGCCAAATTTTATTAATCGATCATTTGGTTAGAGACAAAAAAAATTTATCGCAAATAAAGCCATGGTGGTCAAGTTTCCATCAAGTAAAGTACGTTACCAAATGCTTGTTGGCGATCGTTTGTTGGTGATGCTTTATCAGGAATCAGCGGTTCTCATGTTTGAGATTAATTTTAATACGATTACATATTCATTAATTTCTATCCTTATATGAAAAGTCAAGAGTTCAATTAGAATCCTTAGAATTAATTAATCAGTAATTCTATTACTAACAAAAGTGTTAGAGTTATGT